AAGAAACCATTATAGAATTTAATAGAGCCTTCGGAATCTCATAATCTCACAAACTCACAACCTCTATAATCTTTCCTGCTCCCTGGCATCTTCCCACCGTTCTCACATCGTTAAAAAGGAATTCCATTCATGAAGAGAGCTGCTTAGGTTTCATTTTGTCAAATGGAAAGTTGGCCAAAATGCAAATCGCCCCGCTATAAAATATCCATAAATAGTTTAAATTAAATGATCTATCTAACGTTCGGTCAATCAAGGTATGAGAGGTTGAGTCGAGGAGGCATTAAAGCGATCGTAAAAAACTTTGGATGATCTTTTTTTTTTAGGGTCCAAAGAGAGGCGGGGAACAAGGCACGCTTCGGTTTTTACGATCGGTTCCAATCAGGGGAATGACGAGCACGCAGCTAACAGAAATTATCCCCTGCAGCTAGACGATCGTAATGGGAGATCTGCAGGAGAAACTGAAGACCCTCTAAGACCCACAGCTCTAAACTTCCAAAAATCGAAGATCCAAACCCCAAAACCGAAAACCAATCAAGCAATCAAAGAAGTTACTAAATTTGGTTACAAATTATGCACAATAGGGAGGACACCTAAGATCAGATCTTCTGATGATAATGATTCAATCGGAACGATCGTTTGATCTGCAGACACATTCCATTCCTTGATGGATGATCACTTTAGCTGGAAGGGGAGTGCCGAGTCATGGATATTTGGGTTTGAGAACTCACAAAACCCATCCTTTATGATCCATCTAAAAGATCCTACAAATCCCAAAAGGGAAAACAAAAAACATTTCTTATTTCCTGGCTCAAGTGGACGAGGACAAAGCGATCGACACTTGACACACTCGGGGATTTGAATGCAAAATCCCCGAGAATAGACCTCCACAATCTCGAATCTCAAGTGCGAACTTATGAGGTAACCCAAAACAGCAAATTAAATGTCGGGGCATGAAGTCAGAGATGCCGAGAAACCGACATTGACATAATGATTCTTGGCTGGTTCCGGCCAACAGTTTTTGACTGCCATTTGAGCCACTTAATGAGCAGAGCTCAAAAACTACAGGCTACGAAATACAAAACTAAGCACACACTGCACACACGAACTCACAAAAATATATAAATCTCTCGCCCACCCAGGCAACAATTTTTGGCTTAAAGGCCAGGCCAAAGACAAAAATTCTTAATTGCCGGGCCTGCGGGCGATATATATATTTTCAGTCAGACAGTGCAAAAAAAAAAATAGAAAAAATAGAAAACAACACCCCGTCATGATGTAAGCTGCCCAATTTGTCTTCACCTTTCCGTACATCAGGTTGGTCCAGTCCGGTTTGCTTGGGTTCGTTTGGGTTGAGTCTCTCTATAGCGATAGAGTCGCAAAAACCCATCGCATCTCACATCTCGATTCATAATTCGCTGGTCCGAAAAATGCGCATGCGCAACCATTTGGCATTCGGACATTCGATCGCTTGTCGCCTCCATTTATCATTTCTCATTTACCATCTCTCATTCCAATTTTATATCCATCAAAACGGATTTCCACAGATTTTTTGTCAAAAAATATGATCCCTTGATGACTAAACGCCATTAAATGTAATGAAATTCAAGTACCCCTGACCCACAAAATGCGTATGTAATGTCGTATCTCATAAATACATTTTTGATTAGGCCCATCATTTTGAGAGACCGCCCGCATCCAAGTTGATTCCGTTAATAGGCGACAATCGTCGAAGGCATTTAATCGGATCCGCTTGGCTTCCACTCCCCGAAAAAGCATCCCTAACTTCTATAGGTATACGAATGTATATAATGGGTCTCTGTGAAGCGCCGTGTTAGTTTGATAATAATGCCCGTCGTTGAGCAAAAAACTAATCATCATAATAACGATGATTTCACGCCTGCTTGGCTGGGCGATCGCTAAAGATTGCAAAAAAAAAAAAATGAAAATAAGCGATGGTAACTCTCTGGCCTTAATGGGTATAGATCATTCTGGGCAGATGTTGAATACATTAAAAAGTGGCGGTCTAAATGTTCATTTAATGATCTACACTTGTGCTTTTAATCGCCTGAAGATTTTCTGAGCTATTTTAGAGATTATCACTAATGATTGTAGATCAAGTTGGGTTGATTTTCGAAGAGGTCATTCAAAATCCATTATTAGGTATAATTTTTAAGACCTCTGTTAGTTGGGATCAGGTTAAAAAGTTTCTTATATAAGTTTTTCCTGATTAGAAAATGTATAATAATATTAATCATTTCTAACATATGTATGTATTTATTATTATAGTAATACTAATAGGATCAGAATCAGGCTTTCAGATCCCATTACTGGCTGGATAACTTGAGATAAAGTCAAGATATTTCTAGAATTTCTGGGATTTCATATAGAATTTTCCCAATTAAAAGAACATTTAATTCTCTAATCGGTTAGGATCACTCGAATCGGTCGTAAAAGATTTTAATCTCTGGCGAATCTCAGCGAGATCAAACAGCGTAATAATCATGGCTGTTTTGAGCATAATCGCAGTGAAACTTCGGCATTTCATTGTCATCCGTTGGATGGAAAACGGCGGCAGAGTCAACTTGAATGGTTTCATTTCATTTCATATCGTTTCATTTCATTTCACTTCACCCACAACCCACATGCCAACGACATGGAGCCGGAGCTCTAAAAATATGAATATAGAGATGGATTTAAAGCTGCAGATGGATATAGAGATGGAGCCACATCCACATCCACATCATCCATCAACCGCTGGCGAGAGGGGCTGAACAATTAATAAACAAATAAAATGGCAACTACAATGCGGGTTCATGACCACAGCAAGCAGGCATTTCCAACACTCAACTCATCTCATCTCAACCGAAAGCCAGCAGCAAATTGCGTGCGCGAACAACTAAATTTACAAGGCGCCTGGGCCTGGGAATCCATCTTCTTCAGTTCAAGATGCACATGCAGATGCAGATGGATATATATGTGTATATAGATATTGCGAAGATATAACCAAGTTGCGACTCTGTGTGCAATTAATTCAATGAGCAGTGGCGACAAAGAGACAAAAGATCGCCCCGAGGCAAATGCCTCGCGATCAACACGCAATGGGTTGTGAATCAAAGATGAATGGGGAGATCAGTGGTTCAGAAAAAGTATATAAAAAAAAAGTTTGCTACGAAGACCAAATTAAAAGATTACAAGAAAATGAGAGAGATTCGTGAACCCACACAAAATTAGAAATTTTTAATTAACAAATCATTAAATGATTTTCAAATCCTGTGAAGAATCCTTTAGTAAAAATTCTTCTGGCTTTACTTCCTTTAAAACGAACCTTAAACTACCATTCGTGAGATCAAATAAGAAATTTTAATTGTTTTAAAAGGGTCTTAAAGTGACAAATCATTACATGATTTTAAAATCCTGTAAATAATCCATTAGAAAAAAACTCCTTTTAATTTACATTTTGGGTGTTAAATGATTTATTATCTCTGCATTTGAAATCCCTACAAATGGATTGTCATAATATAGATTATCCGTAACCTTTGTTAGAGGATCAACCTACCTACTTTGAATAACCAAATGAGTTATGTACCTGCATGATTTCGAGATCCTATTTCTTTTTTGAAGTAAGGATAAATCCTGAGTTCATTTTCAATTCACCTGGGATCTGGGATCCCTTTGGCTGTCATCTCCGCTATCTCTGTGTTTGATCAACTGCCAGCTGATCGATGATCCATTCCATGCCACAGCCACAACACCCAATTCCAATTTGTATTCCCAGCATTTTGTATTTGATATTCGTGGCCCTTTGGCGATCACTTGACACACTCTACCCTACCCGCCTGTCAACCGTCGAAATAAATAAATGAACTGTCCAAAACTGATCGGAGATGGGTTGTCCATTTGAGGAACTGGGGAACCGACTGGCAACTAGGAGCGATTGCATACTCATAAATATTGAAATTTTCAGAAGGGGGTTTTAGGAAGGGGACGCTATATGACAAACGACGACAAATCGACTTCCGAGCTATCGATCGTCGTTATTTGGCGATCGTTGGAATGAATGAATTTCGCGCCACGTTTTCCCGATACATTATAATGTGCGTTAGTTCGTTGAATGCCAATTGGCTTGATATAAACGCTTGATAACGAAATCGAAATCAAAAAACGAAACTGAAACTGAAACCGAAAATGCAGCCCAAGAAATGCCGTGACTCAGATTCTTTTGGCGCTCTGCCCATTCATAACCACTCGAAACGACCATTTCTTTCGCACATTCAGATTCCCTGACCTACGACATAATCCCCCCAAAAATGCGCTCACACGAATATATATATCTTGATATATATTTCTTTGTATATGTGTACATATAGCCAGAGGCGTCGTCATCTCGGTCTATGACGAAACCGATCGTATATTTTTATCATGGCCAAGAGATACGCGTTTGATAGAGCCCGGGGCATTTGGTCGTAAGTATCTTATATAGCCACATGATTCACACTTTCCCAGAACCAAAGTGATTAGTGCCGGGGCGCATTTCTTTCTAGATCGCGAACGGTCATTTCTGCACCGGTTTTATCTTTTTCGTTTCGGGAGATAATTACTTGAGAGGGGGATCTTAAAGGTATGCTACTAAAAGATCAGAAATATCTTATATTTGATGTTTTCGGAAATTATCTTTAAAAGGATATTGGATTTGATTATAATAAGGAAATATTCCAGGGAACGTAAATATTATCCATTTGATGAAAAATTTAATTGAGATTTATATTATATCATAAAAGTTCCTGATATTTACATATCCTATAGTCTTATGGTTATTCTTTCGAATTCGAGAAACTTTATATTTTAGTTGTACAGTTTACATTTTATAAATAAACACCGTCTTTATCTGGTAAAATACCCAATAAATTTCCAACTAACAATGGAAGCTCCTATGATTTTTTACGATCCCCCAAAATTCCCCCCTATATTTAACACTTCCCCGCGACCTTTGATGAACTCACCGATCTGGTGTTGATATCTCCCCACTGTGCGCCTTCTACAGTTCGGTTTCTTGTTCTTTTCTGTTGGTTTTCCTCAGCTGGGGCCGGAACCTGAGGACAGAGAAGGGAAAAAATAAGGAAAGGAAATCGAAAATGTTATATGTATGCATATGTATTTTATATAGTTGGGCTTTTTCACCGAGTGTGACATCATCATCATCAGAGACGTAAGTAGAAAACGGTAAATGGAGTTTTATTTGCTTTTTGTCATTGAATGTGAATGTGAATACGAGTGAGTGAGCGTTGCGTTCCACACACATCTACACAGAAAACAAATTCGATATGAAATTTGACCCTATTCTATCTTATTTCATATCAATAAAAAGCCTATTAATGTCAAATTTATGATTTAAACATATCAACATGACATTTTATCATATCATCTAAAATACCAAATAAGATAAACATAATCTTTGTTCATATCAAAATTATATGAATAACTTGATCTTTAAAAAATATAAAATTGACCAGCACATATCAATTTGATCTTTTCTCAATTTTTTTTCCGTGTATGCATAGAGAACTAGAAAAATGGGAGAACTAGCGAAAGAGGTGGTGGTCTAAACAAATAAGTCAATAAATAAAGGCGTTAACTTGGCTCGAATGGCCTACGTAAATATGCGATATGCGATGAAATGACTAAAAACGCTGATGAATATGAATACGAAAACGGAACCGTACTGATGAGAGGTGGGCTAAAGTCTCCCAATACCATTTTCCATCCCAAACCGAAACCCAAAACCAAAACCAAAACTTAAAACCCAAAACCAAGATCAAAAACCAAAAAGCCAGACTGACAATCGGTGTAGGCTTGTTTCGCAATCGCTCTCATAGACTTTGGCTCCAGAAGTTGGCAATAAGCTAAAAGCTGACAAATGTCTGACAAGCGGAAATGGCAAGAGAGTTGGCAAAAGCAAACATCACGTCGAAAAATACACGAAAAATTCGCACGCCAAGCCAAGGAGAATAGAAAATATACAACGAGGGGAAAAACGGAACCGCCACCGCAGAATATTTGGGTGTGTCCTACGGGAAGGGATTCCCCCGGGAATCACGTAACTCTTTGGGTTATCTGGATTTTAAGTTTTCGTATGGGATTATCATAAAATAATAGTAAATTTCTATTACAATTTTCAATTTGTATCTACATATATCTTATACTTAATTATAATCATAGTTATAGATTAATGAAGTCCTATTCAGTTGATTAATGTTTTTTTTCTTCTTGTTTTACAGATCAAATATTTTATGGTAAGTCCACTAAATATTTTAAAATATTTATTTTAACAACCCAAAAAATTATGATACAAAATTGCCAACTTTGACAAATTTCTAAAACAAACAATTTTGATATATCCTCTATAAGAAACAACTTCTTATAGATCTCTTTAAAAAATAAACAATTTTGAAAGATCTCTATAAATAAATCCCTATAAAAAAATCGTAATTTAATGGTAACTCTTACCGTTTTCCTAAACATCTTATCACCATTATTTATAAATCGTATTTTGGTCACAAGAAACTATCGAATTGAAAACCAATATTGGCTATATATCTTTATCTTTCTGTGTGTTGGCTTTTGACACCTTCTGTTTGGATTGGTTTGGTTGGTTTCTGATTTTTGTCTGGACCTTGGGCCTACCTTTTCCCACGAAGGCCGCTCAGCGGGTGAGAGGGTCTTTAATGGCCAGGTAGGAATTGGGCAAGGTCAATGCCACATATGCAGAGTGCTATTCTGACCTTTTTAGGGAATGTCCTTTTTTCGATGCGTGACGAATGCCGCCTGCGCATGCGGTCACCAAGGTCAGCCCATCGCCACCCCCTCCAATTTACTGCTCCCATTTGCTCATTAAAACAGTTGACGTGACTCAATCTCCTGGCAAAATAAATAATAATAAAAAAAAACACTTCAAGAGGCGCCACCGCGATGGGTGGCCTGCCAAACTATGACTCATGGAAATGTTGTCTGAATTCGCACAGGGAAAATTAATAATATTACCATAGAAAAACATTCACAAGTTCTTTAATTAAAGGCCCCCAGACATCTTGCGAAGTTTTGTCGAAAGATTTATGACTCAGTTTTTGTGTATTTATTTAAAGCAAAACATGGACATCGAGAGTCCATTCAGGATATCATAAATAATATTTTGATGATATGTGTGTGTGCTTCAAAAGAGTTTTTGAGTTTTAGCTAATAAATCAAAGATTTTCCTTTAATTGGGAAAATCATGTTTTTAGCTTATGAACTAGAATTACATATCTAATCGAGTTTTCTTATCTCTCGGCCATAAGCTTTTAAAGCTAAAGATCCGTTAAGAAATAGTTTCTAGTTCTCTTGGAACGAACTACCACTAATAGTTTCTTATCTCGTCCTACTATATCATCATATAATGGAATATCGTTCTTTGTTCGTCGATCGACTTACAGTTGTAAGATTCTAGTTCCATACTCATAAATATTGGTCTACCCCTAAGTGGTTAAAACTGGATCTGGATCCCTGCTCGTATGACATATTTTATGGATATAAACCATATATATACTATATGTATGTGTCATTTGTAAGTGGAACTTCAGATAAACCCCATGAGCTATGGAACCAACCGAGCTGTCACTTGTATTTTATATATTTACATATATATGCATGGCATGCCGGAGAGATCGGGGGTACAATACAATACTATACTGTTTGGTGTAGAGCTCATTCTCGTTATCAGGAGGGTGTCGTTCGTTGCATGTGGAAATTAAATTGAATGCGCCTTATGTTTATGATTTACACCATTTACAACAGCACATTCCGGCACATTCAGATATTCAGAAATACACAGAAAAAAATGACAAGTATCAGATTGATATGTGCTGTTCCATTTATTCATTATTTTGACATTATCATATTTTACATTATTTGTTAAATATAAATACCAAATTTGGTATTTTATATGATATGATAAAATATCAAGTTGATATGTTTGAATCATAAATTTGACATTAGAAGAATTGACCATATTTCATATCGAATTTTTTTTCAGTGCTTAAGTACATATCATTATTGGCAGACGGATAGGATAAAAAGCGATAAGTTCCAAAGTAGCAGACAACCCAATAATAATAATAATAATAATCATTATTTTCAGCTGTTTGTTTATTTGTTTTTTCGGCTCTCTCACAAACAATCGAATTGCTATTTTGGCATTTGATTTCTTTTGTTTCCCCGATTTTGATTTTTGAATTTGTGTGTTATTTTTTTTTTTTTTTGTTTTTAACTCCGCGACACGCAAATCGATGGTTGCCACCCTAACGGGCCAAAACAATAACAACAATAACACTAAAAATTTACGCTAAATTCTGCGCTTACTTTTTCTGCACGCGATGGAAAGAAAAAAAAATGGGAATCCAGACAAGGAAGCACGTTATTATAGCGGTAAGTGTGCTACGAAAAATAATAGCCAATGTTTTGGTTACTTTTTTTTTTTTCTTATATTCACTTCACATCACATAATAAATACGAGAAAAAAAATCGACAAAGAACAAGAAGTCGGAAACGGAAGGGAAGTTTTGAAATCAGCACAGGAGGTTTTCTTTATTAGGAGTGGACGCGAAATACCGCGAGAAGGCGACTCCGCGAGACCGCAACTCCGCAACTCGACGGACGACCATATGACCGAAGACTAACGTCGAATAACCCGACTTTTCTTTTCGCCACAAGAACGGCACACACAACCCAGGGTTGCAAAATCCCAACCCCCCACCCGAAATATTCACCAACAGCTTCCGCGCAAGTCCTTGCCCAACTATTCCGATTCCGGGAGAGAATCGAAAGGGAGAGCCACGCACATTAAAATAGTTGGACACCGAAAAGGGGCACAGTGGAGCCTTACGACGGATATCGCCTGATATGGAACTATCATATCATTAAGGGCAAATAAAATATTATAATAGAACATAACTATAGGAAATGCTTTGGGAAGAAAGAGTAAAATCATATTTTAAAAGTACCTACATTTTATAAAACAAAATTGGGTAGATAATAATGAAGCTTTACCATATACATATTTCCTGATACAGAACTATCATATCATTTGAAGAACCAAAATATGATAATAGAATATAACTATAGGAAATCCAAATGGATCATAAAGAAATATCATATTTTAAAAGCATCCAATTAGTAGATTTTTAAAGGATCCTAACTAATGAAACTTGGGTTTTGAATCACAGGAATATTTTAAACTATGTTCTGGTGCTTCTAATGTCTTTAGAATTAAGTTCATTATTTAAAATTCCCTTTTAAACCTTGTTAGGACTCAAAACTAAAGGAACTGGGGTCTCAATAATTAATTCTGTTGTCTTTAAAAACCCAGCTAATGCCAGTTAATTCCCACATTAGTTGCTCAAATATTATTAATGGTTGACCAATAAAATCGCAGTTAGTCAACAGCGGGAGGTCGATCATATGGGGGATATATATTAATGTGGCAACCACTGTGCATTGATTTCTGGAAATTATTGTAATCCCATAAGCACTATCTGTGTGCCAGTGTGCGTGAGTGCGAGGGGGAGGGAAAGCGACAAGGAAGAGGAAAAGGAGAAGGAGAGAGGGAGAGAAGGAGAATATGGGGCTGTGGGAGGAGAGGCGCATGCGTTGCGACGACCGTTATAAACGATGGGAAAACAGGGGAAAACATATGGAGGCCCAGCCCAAACGGCACTACTAAAACTCAAGACCCCGAACTGGGAAACAGAAAAACTCAAGACCCGCAACTCTCGACTCTTTGTGTGTGTGTGTGACTGTGTAAATGTGTAAATACCACCCTTTATCAGTTGAGCATTTTCTTATCAGTTCGGCAATTGACGGCCTGAGAATTGAAAACCCACAAAGTCCACACAATGAGATCTCTCTCTCTCTCTAGTTTTAATTTCTCCAGGGGATTCTGAGAGAAATGGAGGGAGAGGGAGAGAGTTCCTTTCACTCCTTTTTCCTCTGTTTGTTGTTGTTGTGGGCGTCCAACAGGCGTAAACAGCTGTAAATTGTTTGTTGACACACACACAGCCAAGGTCAAAATAATAGAGGATTTTTTTAAATATTCAACAAATTCCACATCTTAAAACACCTTTTTTTAATTAAAAAAAAAATCAACACGAATAAATATATAATATAAAGTCTTAAACTTAATTAGAAAAAATTACATTAATAAAAAAAATTATTTATTTTCAAGCTTGGGTTGATAAAAATGTATATGAAACAAAGTTTTTTGTATAAATCAGTAAAACACAATATGAGTCAATTTATAAAAAATAGTGGCTTTATCGACTGCTGACTGAATTTTTACAATTTTTTTTTAAATAAATTAATCTTACTTTCAAAATGACTACCACAGTCCTAACTACATCTTTGCCCGCATCTGTAAGCCGATCCTGTCATCGTTTTGCCTTATTACTTTTAATTAGCAAACCGAAAAATTGGAGGGCGGATGATTTTGGAGAGGGCATTTCGCGAGGGGGTGGGTAAATTTATGGCGTGCAGCAGATTTTAATTCTTATTCATCAAGCGATTTCGCGGAAGAGCCCGTCGGACCACAAGAAAGTCACCAGTAAGCAAACAAGAAAGTAAAGCTAAAGCTAAAGCTAAAGCCAAGGGAACGTTTTTTGTTGACATGACAAGAGCCGGGGGTTCTAGGAAATCCAGAAATCAAATTTGCATTTGCAACAGTACCATCGCAAGTGCAACAAAAAGTGCCGAAATCAACAAGTGCGTGTGCATGATATGATATGGGGGCTCTCTGACCCACTCGATAGGGCATATTCTGCACGTTATCAAGCGAAAGAGCGACTAGGCAAACACACAACACAAATCCACAATCGGCCAAACATGTGTAAAACGCTCCACATTGTTTTTATTCCCCTGATAAACCCACAGTTGTCTGATTAAATCAACCGTTTGTTGGGGAAAAACATAAAGGAAATGACTAAATTCTACACCATCTAAATTTCAGTTTTATTTTATTTTTAATGCACAAACCTTTTAAAAGATATCCGCCAATCCCTCGATTTGTATGCAAATTTTGTTTGATTCGCTTTCACAAGAACAAAACAATTGTGGGAAAAATCAAATATCAAATCATATTAAATAGTATCAATATTTTTGCGGTTATATTGTTTTAATATGCACAAAGTGATGCAAATTTTTCACTCCACTTCGCGGTTTTATTTTTTTTCGAAAAAGGGTTTTATCTTTTCGCACACAGGGTTTCAAAAGAACATAAACAAAAAGAATCCCGCGTCACGGCCCAAAAACAATTGGCTCGCTGGGAATATGTAAAACAATCATAGTAATAATATATATTTAGTCAAATATGATATATCCCGCTTCCCGGCAAATTTAACGCATGTTTTTCGAGATACGTTTTTGAAAAGATCTAACGGAAACCAAAAGACAACCATCGGCGCGCGGTGTCGGTTGAAAAATATCAACAAAATGGGTTGTGCTGTTGCTTTTATAGCGGTTTCATTTCAGTGTTGCCAGATGAACATTTGGCTTTCCCCCTAAAAAATCCAGTTTTCCCGCTAAATTCAAAAAATCAGAAATGTTAAGATACAAGGCGGCATATTTAAATTTTAAATTAAATATGTTATTAATATAATAATTATAATTTAATAATTGATTTTATTTAAATATTATAAATGTTAATGTTCTCAATGTTCATAACATGAGGGTTTAACGTTAACGGTTGCCTTCCAGTTGAGTACTGTTAAAGTCTGCCTGCTGCAAAACACACTTCCCAAAGTCTCCAAACGAGTGGCGCCAAAAATTGAATATGTTTCCCAAAATCTTAACAAATAGGTATAAAAAATTAAGGAAAAATAATAATATACTCTAGATGGCACTCTTCATAGAATCTTAAATCCAACTTGAGGTTGTGTATAAATATCATAATCATTCTAAATTTCTTGAAATAACAAATCTGAACCTCGCCTAATGGCCGTCATAATTCAGGTTGACCATTTCCGCATCGACATCGTGCCAAACGGAGCCATCCCCATCCCCATCGCCATCGACATCCTGGCCAGATCTTGCGGCCGGCGAGGAGGTTGCCTCCCGGGAGTTCTCCGCACCATCGACACCCATCCAATTATCCAGATTTGCTGTTCCGCAGGGGGTGGCGGCCAGTGGTGGTCCATTGGAGGTCAGCTGGCTAATCACCACCACCTTGATGGGTGGTGGTGGTCCACTTTCGTCCAAGACAGTAGTTCCTCCTCCTCCTCCGATGAGCGAGTTGGAGCTCTTCAATAAGCTAATGCCCCGCAAAGTTCGCTCGCATTTGGGATTCTTACTGAAATTTTAGAATATTTTTAGTAAATTAATAGGTTGGTAAAGATAAAACCCACCCCAATGCCTTGTAGTAATACTCCAGGGCCCTGAGCGGCTCCTTTTGGGTGCGCAGCATGTCGGCGAGATTGGTGAATAGATTCGCCTGCGGGAAGAGCAAGACGTGATCCTCCAGCAGCTTAATGGACGCCTTGAATTAGAGTTCGATCAATTATCGATTTTTCCGATTTTTTCACAATATTGTTTCGATAATATCGATGTTTTTCAATATTAAATAATATTAAATTTTAAATTAGAGCTCTACCTGAATCGCACCCTCCAGTTGGCAAATATCGGCCATTAAGGTCACCGCCGGCGTATAATTGGGATCGATTTTCAGTGACTTTTCGGCAAACTTGCGAGCGCTCTTCTTGATCTGCGGATCTGGCGAGTGGAAAAGTGTGCGACCAAACATCTGTGTAGGATAGGTGATATTTATTAAATTATTTAATTATTAAATAAATTACTTTTCTTGTAGCACCAGGAAATGAGAAAGAAATAAATTAAAATTTAATTTTAAAAAAAAATACCACTTGCATATCAATTTGACATGTACGTACCGTAAGTCCCCTGGGCGAATTCGGAAAAATACGCAGTGCCCAGTTGCACATGGCATGGGCCTCCTTGAATCGCTTGGCGGCCAAATAGCTGTGGAACAGGCCGCGATAGACCTCGAATCGATAGGGAGCGACCTTTTGGGCCATGCGAAAGGCCTCCACGGCCTCCAAAAATCGCTCCAGTGAGATGAGCAGACGGCCGCGCAAAATGAGGGCCTCCTGGTGACGGGGCTCCGAGTTCAAGCACTGCCCCACGAAACTCAGGCCGCGCTCAAATTTCCCAGCATCGTACATGGACTGGGCATGGACAAACCAATGTTCGGCCGTGTACTTTGGTTCCGCGGTGACCTGGGCATACAGGCGATCCATATCCGTCCTGTTGCTGTTAAAGGAGTCCTGACCACGAACGACGGCCAGCAGACCGATGGCCTCGATATTCTCCGAATTGGCACTAACCGTGGCCGCAAAGAACTGCTCCGCCTGGGCGTAGCTGCCGTCGTAGTAGAGGCACCTGCCCAGGGCCATCATCAGCTGCTCGTTGCACCTCAGCAGAGTGTTGTCCTGCAGCCTCTGGAAGGTGCGCGCCGCGTCCTGGTGCTTGCAGTCGAACATCTGGGCCAGAGCCTTGATCCACGTTCTCAGCCAGTCAAAGTTCCCGGGCACCGAGGCAGCTGAAGAGTATCAGAAATAATAATAAATAAATATTTCGATAGGTTAGCTGCTCAAAACTGCATTTTTATCAATATTATTAGTATTTTATTTTCTAAAGAATCTGTATTCTTGCCAAAATTCTGAGTAAATACGTTCAAAATATGGAAAGATTGGTTAAATCAATGCAAAAAATTGTCGAAATACAGGATGGTTCGTGGTGCTCGTAAATTAATTCCCTATCGATTGGGATTGAAACCAAAACCTCAAATTTTTGACGATTTTTCGCAAAAAATTATTGTTTTGAAACATGCAAACATATCAGTATTTCAATAGATTGGAATTCAAACCTGGGATTTTTAATTTTTCTCAATTTTTAGTAAAAAATTATGAGAATAATCATCCAAATATAAAAATTAATACCTCGCTGAACTCGTGATTAAATTTCCAATCGATTGGCATTCAAACCTAGACATTTTTAATTTTTGCCATTTTCCGCAAAAAATTGTGATGTTACCCCTTATAAAAAATGTGAAAATTGATCAAAAAATAAATTTCCTAGAAAGTGATGGGGATCGTTAGTTTAGGTCGTTAGCTGTTCAAAACAGTCAGTCTTTTAGCTGTGGGCCTTGATTTGTGCAAGTTACGATTAAAAAACCACAAAAAAAAGGGTTTTTTTCCTCAAAAATTCGAGTCTACATTTTCCATCAACAAACATCACTATTTTTGCCGTAACAATGGGAATAATGATGCAAATATAGAATGTCATACCTTTTTGAACTCGTATTTTAATTCCTAATCGATTGGCACTTCAATCTAGAAATTTTCAAATTTTATAATTTTTTTTTTCAAGAAATCAAAAATGCAAAAATTGGTGACAAAAATTAAATTTTTCCAAAAGTAATGGGGATCGTTAGTTTAGGTTAGTTTAGATCTGCTCAAAACAGTCGGTCTAATAGCTTTTGGACTCAATACCTTGAGTTTTGACCATATTTTGCAAAATGTTGTTAAAAAAATTTTTTTTTTTAAGTTTAATACCGTGCATAACCAGCGAGTTGACCTCGTTGCCGTCCTCGCCCAGTTCCAAGAGGTCCTGAATCACGGGCAGGGCCATGGGGCATTCGCGTATGACCTCCTTGTAGGCGGGCAGGGATTTGGTCTTGTTGGTGTTGCCGAAGCCAAGGCAGTGATGCTGCAGCCTGGCCAGCATGAGGTTGATCCGCGGAGTGCGCGACTTGACGGGCACCTGGAGCAGGGTGCCCAGGGCCATGTCGGGATCCCCGATCTCGCGATAGCACTCGGCGTGCCGGCGCCGCAGCTCCACTTCCCCGAACTCCGGATAGGCACTTTCGATGGCCAGCAAACCGGCGCTCTTGTGGCGCCTGTGGTTCATCAGACGACGCTGGTGGAAGAGGTCCACAAAGTGCCGCGATGCCGAGCGATGATGTCGCTCCTTGTACTGCGAATTAACCAGATAGAGCTGCACCTGGTACTCCAGCTCCAAGGTGGCCACATTGCGATCATTCTTGAGCACCGTTATAAGCAGCTTTGCCTGCCAAATATCAAATAATATTCATATTATAATATATAGTGTAATATTTATAGATCTTCGGATCTTCCATTACCAATGGAATCACGCACTCGTAGAGCTTGTGATCGTAAAGCCTCTTAACATTCGCAAATAGAGCGTTTTCCATTTTTTCCACGACTTCTCGAAAATGTCGGACAGGCTCCACTAGTTCCCCAACTTTCCAAAAACTCCACTGGTTCCGGAACTATGTACTTTTGGGTTCTTCTAAATGCATTAGGTTTTAATTTTGATATCATTAAAATGATTAGAATATAAATTTTACATTAAAGACCAGTAGATCTTAAGTTATCATACGCGATTGCGCACTTTTTAAAAATTTCTTATAATCCAAAACACTCAACTCTTGTCAGCCATCAAAATCGAAAGTTATCGATATTAAGATATCGATTTGAAAAATTCAAATTTGGTTTTTGCATTTAGTAGTAAATTCCCCTTTATAAAGCAATTAAAACACCAAAAGTAAATTTCAAATTTGCTGTTATTTTATTTTGAGATTTACGACGTCGCTCTTAAACTAGATCGCTAAGTAATGCCAAAAAGAGTTTTGCAACTACAATTGTGTTGTGTTATAAGTATCGCCCTAGGTAGCAAATGTTAATGGTATAAATTGTCTTTATTTTTAGGCGTTTATTTATTTATTTATATATGTATATGCAAGTATTATAATAAACCTTTTTTTTTTGTTTCTGTCTGTAACTGGAAGCTGTAATATTCAACCCGAGTAGTTATTTACAAAGCTTTCCCATCGCCAGTTGCTTTTTGTTTAACTTTAGTTTGGGGGGCTGCGCGGCAATACTTTTTTGTATCCACGTTCCATGCGTACGCAGCATTAGAAATATATATATATATATTTAGTATATCGTTTTCGGATAGGCTATAGGCTAGACTATACAATACGCTCTCTATACAACAACTTCACCTTCTTCATCTTCTGTGCTCTTCAAGCGCACTAACAACAAGACGTTAGTACGTAGTAGTAGGTGATTGAAATTATAAAAATTGAGTACATTCCACTACACCTAGAGAGAAAGCGAAACAAAAGCGAAGCGACTACTGGCCTTTTTTTCTTCGAGTTTACAAAAAATATAAGAAAGATCGATACAAAGGTAGAATTATTAGACGCGAAAATCCATTAAAACTTAAACATTTGTACATGGGCCAAGACGCGGGGAATACATAAAAAAATAATCCTTGCTCAACGATCTCCCGCCGAAGCTGCAACAATACTACTACATCTTATAGCCTAGAGGTTCATCTTCTTCTGACTGGCAAAACTAAACAGGACTACTGGGTGGTTTCCTCGAAAACTGTGGGAACTAAGGGGTACTGGACGTATTCGATGATGGCTGGAACACAACTTGCTGAACTGACCCATATAGTATGGGTATATGGGGTTATTCGATGGAAATAGAAATGGAAAGCAAAGAGAAAACATTTAAAACCCGATCTATGCTATTAACTATACTTAGACATTCATATAGAACACACGCGGGTCGATCCTTCGATGCTCCTTCTTTTCTCTTCTTTTCTGTCTAATCAACGTGGGCTAACTTATGCGAATATCTCTCTTATCTAAGACAAACTGCAGATGTTGCCGCCTCTGCTGCTGCTGCTGCTGCAGTTTGCCCTCCAGTTTGTGCCATCCGATGCGGGGGGTGTGGGTGCGATTGCGATTGTATCCTCATCCTCACTCGCCACTATATCCATTTCCACTTCCACTTGCGCTCCCACTCCCAAAACCCCATCTCAGTTTGGATTCACCTCCGCCGGTTCCGAACGGGTTGGACTGCTTTTGCAGACGCACATGCTGAAGAACTTGTTCTTGACCTCCTCGATGGAATAGTCCACCTCGATGGCGGGGTAGCTGGACTTCTAAAAGACGAAATATCGATTTAGAACAGTGGGGGGCTAGAATAGCAGACACCTTCACTTACATTTTGAGTTAGGTTCTGGCCACGCAGCATCTGCCAGTTCTCCAGTGTGTGCGCATACTTCAAATACTTCTCAAAGTCGTGCAGCGTTTCGTAAACGTGGCACAGGCCCAAGTAATCATACTCCAGGCCAGAGTACGAGTGACCGAACAGACGCAGGCCTGCAATATTAAAGTAGATTAATTAATTTATCCATCAATAAATTCAAAAGTTATCAAGTTGATAATATCAACTTACTTATATCAATGCTGCGCAGGTAGAGCTTCTCGGCCTCACGGTACTTCTTCATTTGATAGTTGTACAGCGAGGCCAAGTGGCCAATGGACAGGCCCACCTCGTAGTCGAAGGCACCCAGCAGATCGGTCTTTATCTTGATCGCCTTCTGGTGCATTCGTTCCGCCTCCTCGAAGCGATTCATCGTTTGGTATAGACGCCCCAGATTTCCATAGTGCTTCGCCGTCTGCACATTCTCCTCGCCGAAAACTTCGAGCGAGAGCAGCAGGGCGAAATTGTGCAGCTCCTCGGACTGCAGCAGCAGATCCTCCTCATCCATCCCGTCGGCCATCTTGTCCAGCGCAATCTCCTCCAGCAGCAGCGCCTTCACGCGCTTCGCCGAGGCCAACATCAAATGATTGCTGGGCACCAGATTCTTCATTATGTTCACCGCCTTGTCCACATGATCCTGGGCACAGCTAAAGTCGCCGGTGCTGTACTCGTGCACATAGTAGGCATAGGACAAATCCTCGTGGGCAATGGCCACATGGAAGTTCATGTTGCCAAAGATTCCGCGGCGCACGGCCAGCGCTTCCTTGTACACATTGACCGACTGGAACACCGAGTCCACGTTGAGCAGGAAGAAGCCATAGTCCAGCAGGGCATCGCCGTACTTCTGATGCTTAACTCCGAAATGTTCACTGCGGGGAAGAAAGTGTAAATTAGTTTGGGTTCGGAAATATGGAAATTATCCAAGGGAACAGCTTTTTGATGAACTTTTAAATAGTTCGACCGTTATTTTTATATATTACATCCTCAATAACTGGATATATATGATAGATAATCAGTTTATAATGAAAAAACGAGACTTTTTGCCAAATAATCAGCGAAAAGAGAGAGAAGGGCGAAGAGATGCCGAATCCCTGAACTTTTGTGCTTACCGAGCGCGTCGCACCGCCTGGCAGATGAGCAGATTGGCCCGGGCAAAGTCTCTCTTCACGACACAGGCCTTGGCCGCCTGGCGCAGAACATCGATGGTGATGCTGATGGGGGGATTAAAGGAAAGATCAGTAAAATATCAGTAACTCGAGGGAGAGAGGGACAAAAACTCACCGCGGTGTCGCCGATCCACGCAGAAATTGCATCGCCTGACCGCTCCACCTATGACTGCTGGTGTACTCGTTGCGGGCAAAGAACATGGCCGAAATCTGGGTGTAGGCTATGGCCACCAGCTGGGCAGGCACAAGGTTATTAAGCGAACTTCTCAGACCCATCAGTTCGTCGCAGGTGTGCTGCGCCAGCTTAAAGTTGCAATGGGCCGATTCGGCGTAAAGCAGGCTTTAAAAGAAGATCAAGTATAAACAATTAATTAAAATTATAATAACTAATTCATAGGAAAAAAAATTCGATATGAAATTGGGTAAATTCTAGCTTATTTCATATCAATAAAAACCGATATGATTAATAAAAAATTTATGATTCAAGCATATCAACTTGATATTATATCATTTCATAAAGATCATAAAAATTCTGTTTTAAAGTACCAAATTTAGTATTTTTTGAAAAAATATTGTAAAATAAGATAGATATTCATATCAAAATGATATGAATAACTTAATTTTTAAAAAATATTAAATTAATCTGATCTTGTTATTTTTTTTCGGTCTTAAAATTAATTAAAATTAAATTATTATTATTATAATTACCGCTGCAGGCAGTCGAGGCGCAACTCCAGCCAGTGTTTATGGGGCGGCAGGTGCTTCAGTCTTCCATTGAGGCTGGCCAGCACGGTTATGCTCTCCTGCATCCAACCGGCCTCCGAAAGGAACGATCCGAGGCGCAGGCCCAGGTCGATGGCCTGCATCTCCTCGGCGGGCAGCTCCTCGAGCTCCAAGTCGCTAATCACACTGAGTTCGCCCTGCGACGGGCCATATAATGGGCCTTGGGGTTCTTCGTGCTTTGCGATTGGGCTGAATTGGGTACGGGGGTAATTTGGAGCGGGTGGACTTGTGCTGGCCTCTGCTGCCTCTGTCGTTTCCCCACCATCGTATCCATCCTCCTCCTGATCTTCTTGATGATTCTTGTTCAAACTCAACGGTTCCATCTGCTGGAGTTCCTTGACTTCCTCCTCCTCGTAGCCTGGAATCCCATAGCGCGACATATAGTTCTCGCTGAGACTTCTGGCCAGCATCTTTTTGCTGGCCATTAGCGAGGCCATAATGCGCAGCAACTTGCTGCGGGCAGCCGAGTAGCGGACGAGACGGGAGAACACCTCCAGCTGGGCCAGCTCCTCCAGCAGCGTGTCCTTCAAGGACTCCTGCTGCGACATCTGTGGGCGAAGGGAAGAAACAGAGATTAGCAATTGGGTATTTAAGTGAAAGCCAATAGGGGGAAGGGGGTTATGGGTATGATTAGCAGCGGGAAAGGCGCGAAATAGGTCAAATAGGGTGCTTTATTCAATTAAATAAATGAAACTCTTTAATAAATAGGACGAAATACTATAAGTGCGAGGGAGATGGAGATGTACATCCAGCAACGCGAATACTTGAATTATTTGCTCATAACTTTTTAAAGAATGGTCCGATTTGAAAAATTTCTTCTACATTATGATAGGTATTAATGAATACAACAAAATTGCATTTACAATTTTTTGTAATCTCTTATAATAAATAACTATTATAGTATCTTATAGAACATAAGTTTATCCCTATTTTTCTAATAGTTAAAAATCACAATAATTCCACTACTAGAATAGCAAATGGCTCTCGCAAGAAGTAAAGCAAGCCAGAGGAGAAGAAGACCCATCCAATCAGCGGACAATGGAATTTGCTTAGCCATTATCAGCAAGTTCAATGGCTCTTTAGCCAGCAGCTGCGCCATATAAGCAACAAGGTCTATGCATCACTGCATCCCCCATCCCAGTAAGAGCATCACAATTTCCGAACAGGACAATCAAAGGGCGCTGGACCCATCCAACTGGTTGGTTTATTTTTAGAATAACCGAACCGAACCCCACTCCATCCCCCTCGTCGAGTGTCGCCTCTGTTTATATAAATTACTTTGTAATTGCCACTTATTATGACAATCCATGTATGGAAAATGGAATCGAAACCTCTTGGCTGACCAACAATGTATATTCGCAACCACCTGTGGGTCTGTGGACTTGGGTTTCCTTCGTCCAAATGAAATCCATCTGAAGGTGGTGCATACCTCCCTGGATTGTAAATAGTAATCCCGGAATTTTAAGGTTTATAATCGATATTTCAGATGGTTTTCACTGATCTGATTAGAAATTGTAAACATCTAAATGATTGCAATTGCGAAACAAGTACAATTATCATAAGAGTAACAAAGAAAATTCAATGTATTTCTGGGAATCTGGTCCATAACTTTATTACCCATCAAAAACGATCGCTTCTTGAGATTATACGAGTGTTAATCTACAAATTTCCCAGCGCGATTCCGCGAAGGTCTTTCTTTCTAGGGTTAATGGGCGAGTCGGACCGACTGGCGGTGGGGTGTAAACAATTTAAGCGGAAAAGCAAACACAAACAGACAAGTGCCATACCCCCCTCAATCCCTGATCCCTGATAATGGGTATGAGAGAATGGTAATTGCCAGTGGCGAAATACGGACGGGGAGTTGAGATAAGCAGCGGGGTCCAACAAGTGCTGTAATCGTTATGATCGCTGATGGAAAGGGTAGAACTTTTTATTTTAAATATGTATAGGATAACTGGGATAATTATTTTCTAATCAAAATAATATATTTATAATTCCAGGAATCTAAACTATTCCCCAAAAACAAAATCAAAATTCCCAGAATCAATTTTTTCCTGATATTATTCCCTTTTATTATAGATATCTTAAGTATATTCTTATAAAAATATTTAGGTGTCGTATAAGGTTCCAACTAGGATAACTGGGATAATTATTTTTTGATAAAAAGAATATATTTATAATTCCAGGAATCCAATCTATTCCCCAAAAACAAAATCAAAATTCCAAGAATCTAGTTTTTCCTGATATTATTCCCAATTGTTATAAATATCTTAAGTATATTCTTATAAAAATAATATTTATAGTTCCAAGAACCCATGTTCTCAATACAAATGAAGAATTCCAAGAAGCAATTCCCAAAAAAAAAGTATGATTCCAAGAAATTCCAAGATATATTTAATTTTCAGGATTGTAACGAAAATCAGAATAATGGTATATTTAGAAGGCATAACTATCTGAGTATCTAGTTAGCCTAGGAATTCCCCCAAATACTGCCTGTAAACAACGATTACTGGTTATGATAATGGGATCGGGGGGATCTGAGATCTTTCTGAGAAAGATGGGGTAAGGAAAAGGGGGATAGCGATACCGATAACACTCACCATTTCGTAGACATCGATGAGCAGGTTGCGCGGCAGCTCCGCCAGGCGGCTGATCCTGTCCAGCGCCGGAACCTTGGTGTTCATGCTCCCGATGAGCGATTGCAGCGATAGATCGTATAGGGGCTTCGGGGAGTTGGGATTTGGGTTCGGATTGAGGGCCGCGAGCATTTCGGCAGCCATCTCGCTCTCGCTCACTGGCTTTTCCTTTCCTTTTCCTTGCCTGTTTCCTCGCTGTTTCCTTCAAACGCTGCTGCTGCTTCTGCTGCTGCTAACCTTTCTTGGGGGGCGGGGACACTCGCGGGAGGCGTGGCACTCTGCAACAAGTTCGGATTTGTACGGTTATTCGTGGTAAATGCATTCGCACACGTGCCGAAGAATCGGGGGGGAGACAAAGAAAGAGCAAAACAAACAAACGCAAAGGCAAGGCAAAAGCAAAAAAAAAAAAACAGCAGGAAAAACAAACCAAAATCTGTTTTTTTTTCGAGTGTGTTTTGCACTTCACTTCACTTTCTTTTGAGGCGTTCTTCGGTTTTCTGTTTTCGGTTTTCCTTTCTCTGCCAGCGTCGCTGCCCGCGTGCTGCTTTGCTTTTGCTTTTCGCTGCTTTTGGGTTTTTTTTCTTTTCTTCTTGCTTTGTCGCTGCTGCGTTTGTTTTGCTTTCGCTTTAATTCCGATTGGTTTTCTTTTGGCACTTACACAACTTGGAACACATCTAAATTGTCGGGGCCCGTCAGCTAAAGTCGAAATCTTGGCCAACGGATTATGCGTTGGGAATTGGGAATTGTGAATTGAATTGTATTGTGTTGGAACTTTTTTTCCTCTTTATTTTCGTCAGTGTGACCGCGCTAGCGAGAAATACCAGGGAAAAGAAATACCATTTGGCATTTCAGTCACCAGAAATACCATTAAAATACCGTTAAATTAAACAAGTATTTTTAACTAATAATAATTTTATTTATTAATAATAATAATTTAATAGTCTTTTCATTAATTTGTTGAAATATTCAGCAGATAGAGGGAACGACATATTTTTGCACCTAAAACAACGTTAATTTATACAATTTATTGTTAATAACGGTTGAAAATATTGTAATTATTGTAATTGTCAAATATTCAAAATCTTCAAGTTTTTTTAATTGCTGAGAAAATTGAATTTGACGAACACCTGTTTAAAATTAAATAATTCAGCGGGAATCCCCTTATTTAATACCGTTATCGGCTGACGAAAAATACCAAATAAATACTAATTTTAAAATTTGAATTTCGAAAACATGTGGTTCTTATGGGAAAAATAGTGAAACTGGTTTTATTGAAAATTAAAATTTGTTCTAACTAGATCAGATCTTAGTGAAATCATCGAAGATGTCTGTTGGTCGGTGGAAAATTGCACCGTTCACCCCTTTCGCTCGCAGCCTTTTTAACATCTTTTTATTATCCTGATCAAAAGAGATCGATGGAGTCGTCCTCGATCTCCACCAGGGCAAAGTCGGAGGTGCTGCCGAACATCCACCAGTGGCGCAGGATGTTCCGGATGAGCAGGCAGCGCGTGGTGACGAACTCGAAGAAGTGAAAGAAAAGGGCGCTGGAGGTCAAAAGGGCGCAGGAGGCGACGAACACCTCCTGGACGGTGAGCTGCTCGGTGCTGCCCTGGTTGAGATTATCCATGCACTGCAGAACCTACAAAAAATAAAAAAATATTTTTTTTTGTTTGAAAAATTCTATTTTTAATCCAACTCACCTGCTGCAAAATGATGTGGGCCAGTGGCATCAGTGAGGCGCTAAACAGCAGGTGCTTTACGATCAGGCCGCAACAGCGACCGCAGCAAAAGGTTCGCATCATCTGCTTCAGGCTGACCCGCTCCTCCGAGATGTCGAAGACCGCATTGCAGATCTCGCAGCGATTATCCCGCCTGTGCATAATCCAGCGCTTCAGGCACTTCAGGTGGATGAATCCCTGCAAAGGTCACCTGGATGCCGTAAGCCCACAAGAAGCCACCCCCAAAAAGAGGTGTACCCTCTACCATTTAATTGAATACTGAAAATCGGGATAAAGCTAAAGAATTCGCGTTGTCATCGTTTACCATTTAGAAGGTCTAACAAAGTTTCTAATGAATGGAAATGATAAGGAAAATAATTCCAAGTTAAAAGACTTCAATACCCACAGCCGAATCCCGAAATTGCAAAAGTGCTAAAGAATTCGCGTTGCTATATTTAAGTGGATTATCAAAAAATTGAATTAATGCTAAGAAAAGTAAAATACATGCAAGGTAATCATTATAAAAAAATATAAATTTCGAATCTGTAAAAATGCTAATGAATTCGCGTTGCAAGCCCACACTACTTAAAAGATAAATGCTAAGAGAAATGGAAATATACCCAAGCTAAATAACGTCGAATATCGATTATGTTTAAATCTAAAGAATTCGCGTTTTTCATGAGTGTGCCACCCAAATTGATTACCTTTTCTCAGGGGTGGCTAAAAATACCCCCACTTACCACGCTGCCCTTGCAATTGCAGGGACACTTGATGATCTCCATATCGCTGCGATTCCAGCGGCAAATGCGGCACGAGTTGCCATTCTCGTTCGCCGAGTGGACGCTCTCCTGCGAGGGACGCCTAGTTATGGGTGGCAACATCCTCTGACGAGCCGACGATATTTCCAGGGCGGCCATTGAGGCAGTGGGAGTGCCCCGGTTGGTGGCCCCGATTTCCGGCAAACAACTAACGTCCGCCGGTCCCGTCGAAGGCGGCTGAACGGCCGGGGGCGTGGCACTGCCGGTGGCCACCATCCCATTGATCAGGCGAAGGGCCGTCGATTCCGAGAGGACCTGCTGATGATGCGACATATTTTGCCCGGAGGTACACGGTACACAGATGTTGATGCACTGATCTTTCGAACTGCTTGGCGGTGGTATTGGCGTGTGTTCTTGTGTGCGTTACGAACCAAATTTTGAGTTACAAATTTCTACACCGAATTTTCCTGCGACATCTTACATACAACTTGAACGTTAGACTTCCACCGAGTTATGTAGGCTCGTTGATGAGAAACAAAAGGCACACTACCTATTCGAAATAGAAATAGAAAACTTTCCTACAGTTTTCATATTTTTACACCTGTTTCTTGTAGATATAGTAAAAATGTAAATGCTATTTTGTTTGGTTTAGTAATATCATCGAAATGTAGAAGAAATTTTTTAAATCGGACCACTCATTCAAAAGTTATGAGCAAATAACTATAATAACATTTTCCGGTAGATGGAGCCACTGCTTGCTTTTCTGCTTGCATATCGCCATCTCTCTCACACTCATCTAGCTATTTTTTTAGACTAATTTTACCCCCATTTCCATTAAACCCAATTATTACGAAACACTTAGCTTGGGTTTCATTTGCTTTTTTTTTATTTCTTTGCGGCCTTTTCAATGCCATCGGTTAGTAAATGTTTCGTTCTCGTTACACGTACGTACATAGAATATATGTTTATTATTACAGTAATTCATCAATGTGAGCGACGGCATCGAGAGACTTTATATATCTTCAAATATATATATTTATCTTTTATCGATGACCGCCAGCAGGGTTAGTAACTGCGCTGCTTTTTCTCTTCTTCGCTCTTCACAATTAAAATTATGACAAAAAAATATATAAATCAACAATTATTTGCATAGTTTCTGCTTCAAGTTCAATGTCGATAACAAATAATAATGCGTAATCGTAATAATAGTAAAAAAAGGGTAAAACAAACACAAAAAACGTACAAAAAGTCGGCTGTTCACGTTCGACGAGCCATTTTGCGCTTCAGTTGAAGAATATACATATATATATGCCGATTATACAGTTAGATATTCGCAGGATGACGGGTTCTTTATATATATTAAAGGGTTTTGGGATGGGTTTTTTTTGGGATAGGGGATGGTGTGTCTTAACACAAAATGCCAAAGGGGATGTGTGGTATTTGCTTAAAATTTAATGAGTTGCTGCTGTTGCTGTTGAGTTGACTTGGATTTGGATTTAGATTTAGATCTGGATTTGGACTATTCTGCTGCTGCTGCTGCCACTGCTCTCGATGGCGATGACGATGTTGATGATGATGATCACTACTGACAGTTCCGGAATCGGCGATATATGCTCTGCACGTAGACGAAAACGCACTTCCAGTCGGGGCGACTCATCTCCACCATGTCCTCCACATCCAGCAGTGGTGCAATGCCAGCCTTCTCACTATGAAAAACCAGGATATTAGTAATTATTTAATAATTAATTTTAAAAATTTTTTTTATAAAATTTTGTTATATTTTAAAGGTTAAAAAATAGGTAACTGAGTAAGAAAAAGTAATTCATTAATATTAATTTTACTAAAAACTGATCAAACAAATTGTTTGTTATAATAATTAAATAAAAAAAAGTAATTAATTAAAAATATATTAAAAAAAAAAAAATTTTTTTAGAAATTTGAATATTTTAAAGACACTTGTAGGTCTCCTTAGATAATACTTTAACTAGGTAATTAATTTGAAATAAGTAAAAAAAAAATAAAAAGGCGGAGAATTTTTTTTTTTTTTTCTTAAGCCTAGTACTCACTTCAATCAAAAAGGCAACGAAACGAAAATTTCTATACAAAAATGACAGGCGGAAAATTTCGTGATCAAAACATTGTATGGAGATTTTCATTTTGTAGGCTTTTTGATTGAAGTGAGTACTAGGCCTTAAATGTAAAACCTAGAATTCAGGGCGTCCCACGGTGCATATACTTACTCAGCAACGGTGAAGGCCAGCTCGAAATTGTGTCGTCGCGTCTGCTTGGTTAGTGTGGTGTAGTCAAATGCATCTGGCAAGAAATGGTGTATCAGCGCACAAAAGGCCAGGCCGTCTGACCAGCTCGAGCTAAAGTTGCTTATTTGGACGTTCTGCGAAAACGATACACACACATAATATTTACATTCGGTGATCAGTAGTGATCGATAATGATCGAGCGCGCTTCTTTTTGAGAGATGGTTGGCTGATTTTATTTTTTTTTTAAATTTTTTTGATGGCCCTTGAGCAAAAGCAAAAGCATTTACTAACTAAGACTAACTAATTAGTAAAACTAGGGTCAACTAAATCGAAACAATAACAACAACAGCGGCGATAACTCTAGCGATTAAGCGAAATGATGATCGATAAGCGGTGATCGATAGGAATGGGCAGCAAAAATCGATAAGCCGGAAAAGGAAATGGCATCCATCTTTCGATTTCCTATTCTCTCATTCGTGCATTCGTGTTGGTGTGCGAGTGTGAGCGTGTGTGTGTGTTTGTGTGTGTGTATGAGTATTGAAGAAAGCTTTTTGAAGCTCAGCCAAAGTTAGACGCTGTTAGATGTTTTTGCTTTTGTTTGTTGCTTGTTTGTTAAAAATGGCAAAAAAAAATATAAGTAATAAAAAATAACAACGGAGCGAACGGCAAAACTAAAGGAACGATATTAAACTAGGCTTTCTGGCAAATGAGGTCAAAATAAGGTGTATTTCATAAATTTCGTTAATTTTTTAATCGATAAATATTTGCAATAATAACGATAAAACTTTCGATAACCTTATCTTAACCTCCGGTTAACAAACAATGGCAGGGGTAACAAATATTGGGCTGTGGCTTCGGCGTTTCATTCAAATATTTTAAGGGCTTTTGGATTTATTTTGTTTTTTTTTTTGGTTGATTGGTTTAGGTTTTGGATACCTCATATTCCTGCGTTTTATGCTGACACCACTGCAGAAGTTGATCCTTGACAGTGGCGGCGCGCGCATTTAATGCCGGATCGGTAAATTTGAACAACGGTTGTGCCGAACCGCCGGGGGTCGTGGGTGTGCTTGTTGTTGGAGATGATCTGAACAAATGAGTCAAGGTTGGAGGATTGCAGACGTTTTAGCGAAACTCACACAAAATCGGTTCATCTTCATGTTGTTCTTAATTTCTGAATTTTTTATTTTCTTTGTTTGATTTTTTAGTTTAATAGTGTTATATTTATTTTTTCAGTGTATATGTGTGTGTGTATATATTTTCATTTTGTGTTAGCAAGAAACAACAACAACAATTATTTGAATAGCAAAAAAACATTGAAAACGGATCGACTAACAAGATGTTCTTGGTTTTATTTTTAAGGGATTTTTTTTTTTCGTTTGCCGAAGAAAAACATTTAGAGACAGAGATAGTCGTAAGAGGAGAGAAGAAGAGGGAAGATCGAGAGATCCAGAGTTCCAGAGGCTAACAAAAAAAATAAATAACAGAAGGAGACAGTTGGGTGGTCTATGTACATAAAGCGAAATCACTTTTCCCCTCCTCCCTAGATCATTATTAGTTATCCACTTTTCTAATCGATTTCTCTTTTTTTTGATGGGGAGACGATACTACGACACACTTCCATAGAGAACCAACACCAGAAATCGTATAATGTATATGTGTGTTAGGATTGTGCTTCTATTGTATCTATCATTTAATGTGTAGGTGTACAATGTCCTCCGATTACCAATTGAATTATTTGAATATGTGGGAGATTTTGGGTTTTGGAGAAGCAAACACAAAAAGTGATTTTTAATTGTATTTAAAAAAATGTTTTTCTACTGCTTGCACTGCTTGCTTCTCCAGTTACCTTTAAATCGCATGGACAAATGTTGACTTGTGTGTATATAGTATAATATGCCCTCGCTACCATGTGTATGTATGTCTATGTTTCGGTATGGTATGTTTGTCGACAAATAATCTGAATTTTAGGTGGTCAAGGAAAGTGACTTACTTTTGCGCTTGCTGAGCGGCTGCCTGCTTGTCCAGCTGCTTGAATTTAGCCAAGGGCGAAATGTTCTTGGAGGCAGCACTTCCGCTGACAGTGCGTGTGGTAACTATGGGGTGAAATGGGTTAATCGAAATTATTTTATGTCCTATGTATATCCTATAATTATATCAGGGGTGCTCAGCGGTCACACGCCTATCTTGCATTGGGCACACGTCAATTCTTCTTTTATAAATATTATTTTTTTTATATATACAAGTTTTGAGCACCCCTCCTGATCTATATATGTATATCAAACTCACCCTTTGTTGTTGTTGTGGTCACAGTGGCACCTCCATCCTTGGACTTGGTTTCCGTTCGCTGTTCGCTGGTCGAGGAGCTCTTATGCTGGGCTGCTGTGTGTTTTAGAATAGAGTTTTTTAGGGATGCGATTTTCGGTTTTTTTTTTTTTTTTTTTGCAGCAGGTGGAAGAAAAAAGAGAAGCAAACAAATTACATTGATTAGTTTTGGGGCATGCACAAAATCAAATTACACAAAAAATATCAATCAGTTTTGGGTAATCAACAATTCATTTTTTGGGGGTTATTCAAAATTACATGTGTTTTGTATCTGGGCAGGCAACAGAAATTGACACACTACGCAAAAAATTTTTTTTGTGTTTATAATAATATCAGCTACTACACAAAATTCAAAAACATATTGGCATTATTCAAGCTGCCACACACACAAACGCGGGCAGGTTTTTTTTCGCAGTGTGTGCGGTGTTTTTTTTCAGTCCCCACAAAAGGAAACGCGCTACGAAAATCATATACAACGCAAAAACAATCAGAAACCGTCGCTAATGGTGTGGACATGACTGTGGCGATGGTGGTGGTGGTGGTGCGTTCTGCTGTCCATGGGTGTAATCATGTATTTCGTTATTCAATACACATACACTGAGAAAAATCAAGTGTTTTGAACTTAAAGTAAGCTGTTTAAAATAATAATAGTCCTTTATATCATTTTTATATTTTTTAAATATTAAATTTAAATTAATTTTAAATAACCAATTTTAAGTTCATATATACATAGTTTTTAAATGTACTTTCTCTTTATCTGTGTAATTATGAAAGTAGAAAAAAATCATGCACAAAAAGTATTAACAGTTACAGCTAAAAGTCAATGAACAGCATGCTTTAAATCGAGGGACAGGGAAAACAGGAGCAGATCAGCAGATCGACAAAAAGTATAGATAAACATAGATAAAAAACCAAAAAAAAAAAATTAAGGAAAAACTGATCAATAAAATAAACGAAAAACACTGTTTCCTCATCTCATCTGTTTTTGGGGTGTTAAGAAAAAAAAAGAAGAAGATATAATATGTACAAAAGGACGACAGAGAGAGAAACAGTCGATTAAAAAAGGAGGGACAACATTTGGGGGGGTTTCTTTTTGCTGCTTCCGCTTTTCTTTTTTCAATTTTTGTTTAGGCTTAGTTTTTTTTTCAATCCTTGCTGGACCAACCAACCAACCAATCAACCAGTCAATCAATCAATCAACCAACTAACGAACGAGCAAAAGAGCAAAACGTAACAAAACGTAACAGAACGTAACGTAACGGAACGTAAGGAAACGTAAGGGAAAAATGGTAAATTGGGGGGATAAGCGCTAAAAGTCGACACTTGGCTGAGTAAAAACTTTCAGGCAAAACAAATATGTACAAGAAAAACACGCACACACAAGCACACATGAAACGCACACAGCTGTCTGTAAAATAATGGTAATAAGTATTACTTTTAAAAAATAAAGTATACGTAAATAAAATAGGGAAATGAATTAATTTAAAAATTGAAAAATCAATAAATAATTTCTGCATTTAATTTTTTAAATTATATATCCTTTTGAAAATCTTAAATATTTTTTTTAACTATTAATACGATTATTTTGATTTCAGCTGCATGACTTCTTATGATGTGTGTGCGGTTTTTATGCTGTTAGGCTGCTGCTGGGCGGTATATAGCAATATTTTATGTATTTATTATTATTTTCAATTCTTTATTTAATTGTTGTTGGTAGTACAAGGCGGTGGGCAGGGACGCAGAGAAAGGGGGGAGGGCGGAACTTTCAAGGCTAGCATTCTGTACATCTGATATATTTTTCATATATTCAACTCACAAATCTCGGAATATTGTTCAAGTTGTTGCTTTTGTTGCTATTGTTGCTTATTGTTGCTGTTGTTGTTGTTGTTGTTGCTGTTGTTTGGGGCTTCGTTTGGGACGCAGTGCAGCAAACATTTGTTTGTTTTCACAATATCTCATTGTTTATTGATCGCGATTGAGCGTGTTTGTGTGTATTTAGTGTTTTTTTTTTTTTTGAAAATTGAAACAAAATAGACGAAAACTAGAAACTAGAAACCGCCTGTGGTCCCTCAATTTTTAAACTTTAGCTGCTTCGTTATAACTGCGATTTTTCTAACTGCTTAACAAAAAATGGGAGGGTTGGGGGATTTCGGGTTTTGGTTTTTCGGTTTTGGGTTTGTTTAACTAAAACAAAGCTAATCCTAGGCTCAACAGTAGCGTAAATCAGTGAGTAAATCAGTAAACATTAATCAGTACAGTTGCCGTTACAAGTTACAGTTATTATTCCGTTTCGATGTCGATTTTTCGATGTCGATTTTTCGATATTATATATAAATTTTATCATGTTCTCATCCAGTTTCGAACTGGAATGCCTCAATGCGTTTTTCTTTCGTTAAATTATTTGGCTTGAGTGGTTGATCGGTTGGCTGATTTTTTTGTTTTTTTTCTATTTAATTGTTAATTTTTAGGCACCCATCATTAGCTGCTCGAAGGCATCCTCCACATTGCTCTCGTCCAGCAGATTGAGATTCGCGATATGCGGCATGGTGGCACTGCGACTGAGGCCACCGCCCATCATAGGTGCTCCACTGGGTCTCTTTAATTCCAGACCGGCGGTGGAAACATTACCATTCGATGTGGTGGTCAGTGAACTTAACGATTTTCTTGCTGCCGCCGAGAGTTTTTCACTCGTTTTGGTGCGATTAATGGCTGATTTTCTACTCGATGAGGAGCTAATCATCGTACTGCTGCGTAGCTCCTCCACTTGACCATTACCACCGGTGGGTGACTTTTGGCCCGAGAAATAGGCAGCCACCGTTCGCTGTTTCTCACTCACTTGGGCCTTGTCAATTCCCGCTTCATAGAGCTTTGGTACCGCCAGCGAATGTCCCGATTTCGAGCGTCTCAGTTCGCCGGGGGAAGTGGATTGATTATATGTCTTCGAAGGACTCTGAACCCCCGTCGTCGTCGTTTGTTGCAGCTGACATATCTGATTCCACGAATCGCACTTGCTCAGCCGATTCACCCGAGATCCCGACTGCATTCCCTGGCTGCCTGGCGAATCATCCTCATGATTCCGCCTGCTCATCGATGTGAAGGCACTCACATTGTTGAACACTATATTGTGGGGAATCTCATCCTCGGGCGGAACTTGTGGCTGTGGTGTGGCCGGTGTTTCCACAATACTCGGCTTGATTTGATGATTTTGCACCACTGTAGTAGTAGTATTAGTGGTAGTACTACCCTGCTTATTCAACTGCGGACTCTGATACGAATTGGGCATGTAGTGATGACGCTGCGGTGGCCCGAATTTCTTTAGCAGCGGTGCCTGCTCCTTGGGCAGCGAGGATTTCACAATATCCGGGGTATCTGCTGGTGCCGACGACTTGTACTCCTGCTCAAAGTAGGCGGACGTCCTTTGACTGCTGCTCTCGAGGACGTTGCCCAAACTTTTGCGACGCAGCTCGTTGATGTGCTGCTCCTTCAGCTGTTTCTGCTGGATGCTGCTGGTATTGTTGCTAGTATTGATTACACTGGAGTTGAGCGTCTGCTGGGACATGACACGATTTTGCAAGGGACGATTATCGTAGCCGGAATCTCCTTGAATGGTGTGACTACGTGCACTTAGGCGGGGAGCATGTCTGGGTTGAGCTTGCTGTTGCGGTAACTGTTGGGGTAATTGCTTTGGTAACTGATGAGGTAACTGCTGAGGAAGCTGCTGAGGTAGCTGCTTAGGCAGCTGTGGAGGAATCTGTTGGGGTAATTGCTTTGGTAGCTGCTGAGAAATCTGTTGGGGTAACTGCTGAGTAACCTGCTGAGTAACCTGCTGAGGTAACTGCTGAGATAACTGCTGAGGAACCTGTTGAGGTAACTGCTGAGGTAACTGCTGAGAAACCGGTTGAGGTAACTGCTGAGGAAGCTGCTGAGGAACCTGCTGAGGAACCTGCTGAGGAACCTGCTGAGGTAACTGCTGAGGCAGCGACTTCGGTAACTGCTGAGTAATCTGCTGATTCAGCGACTTCCTCTGCGGAACCTGAGCAATCTGCGGCTTGGTGCTGCGATCCACTGGTGGACCCATAGATCCACCCACCGTATTATGCACCGGATTCGCTGTCCAACTGGTGCTGCCCAGCGACAGCGAGGAGCTGGCATTCGAGTGCTCCGAAGTGCGACGCAATCGGTGTTGTTGGCTCGTGGCCATTGATTCCTGTTCGGGCTCATCCCCCGAATCGTCCACGGGATAGGTGACCACATAGGAGGTGTGCGTCTCGCCCAAATAAGAGTTACCATCTTGCTGATTATTAACTCTCGGTGGTGTGTAGGTGGGATTCGCTTGGTAATTGATCGAAACGGGTGGTGAATCGGTTGTAAACTGTGGCTGTCGCTTGGCCTCAAAAGTGCTCAGTTGCGGGAAGAGCGGTTCTACGAGCGGCGCCTGGTACTGTCTTCCATCGGGCGAAAGGCAACCCCCCGATTTCGGTGAACTGGGCGCCGTTAGGGGTTGTCTTCTCTGGCTGATTGGATTACCGACCGGTGGATTGCCGAACTGCTTCATCGTGTAGAGCAACGATTTGGCCGCCCTCGAGTTCTTGCCATAAACCTCATCATCGCTCATGTGAGCATTTCTTCGATCAGCCACCCTAACTGCCGTCTGACTACGTGGCTTTCGCATCACCTTCGTTTCAACCCTATACTCCAGCATATTGTTGTCCGAATCCAGATCGAGATCATCGTCCGTATTGTCCGTCATTAAAGTGGGATTGGGCATGGTCATGAAGCTCGTGGGGCTATTCGGTGGACTGTCCACATCCACGGGACTGCTGATGTAGTCGAATCTTCTGCTACCTGGTGGAGGTAGATAGGTGGGATTTGAGCTGGTCAGGATTAGAGGAGCTGCCAGTGGATTGGTCAAGGCCTCCGATTGTTCCACGGCACTCGTTAGGCAAGGTTGACTGCGGTAATTGTGGGCATTATTACCCACATTTCTTCTTACTGGTGGGAAATCGGCATAGGTGAATGAGATATTTGTGGGTGGTGGTGGTTCCTGATACATTTGTCTAGGCGGAGGAGCTGCCTGGGTTCCTGGTTCCATGGCATTCGGCAGGGAAGGTCGCTTCTTAAACTCACTCAACGACGGTGCCTTGGATCGCAGTGAATTGTGACGCTGCAGATTACCATTAGGCTGCTGTTCGAGGTTATCCCTCAGGGATCTCTCCTCAAAGTGATGGGCCTTGCGTCGAAAATCGCTATTGTCCACCTTGGGCTTGGCCACCCAGGGCAAACCGATGGGTGAAGTAGCGGCCGTTGAAGATGGCGACGGGGTATTGCTATACGAGGTAGCCGACAAATGTTGTTGCGATTGCTGTGGCGGCTTCCAAATCGACGGATTAGAGGCTTGAGATTTCTGTGCCACGGGCTTGTAGATGCCTGGCTGCGCGGGGGTTTCATTTTCGATCGGACGAAAGACCGACTGGGGAGCGTGTATAAAGTTATTGACCTGAGCGGCCTGTTCTCGCTGCTGTTGCAGACGCACCTCCATCTCCTGACGCCTCTGTCGCTCCAGTTGCTCCTGTTGCTGCCGCTGTCGATCCAATTGCTGTTGTCTCTCGGCCTGCTGGCGCTGCAGCTGCTGCTCGTAGTACTCGCGCTCCAGGCGAGTGCGCTCCTCTCGCTCGTAGCGAGCCTCCTGTTCGAGGCGCAGTTGTCTTTCCAGCTCCTGGCGACGTTGTCGCTCGATTTGCACAGCGGCCACGGCTTGTTGTTGCTGTTGTAGCTGTAGTTGTTCTCGCTGGAGTTGTTCTCGCTGGAGCTGCTCTCGCTGGAGTTGTTCTCGCTGCAGTTGCTCTCGCTGCAGCTGCTCTCGCTGGTGCTGCTCTCGCTGTAGTTGCTCTCGCTGGAGCTTCTCTCGCTGCATCTGCTCTCGCTGGAGTTGCTCTCGCTGCAGCTGCTCTCGCTGGAATTGCTCGCGCCTGGAGAGCTGCTCTCGCTGGCCCTGCTGCAGCTGCTTTTCCCTCTGCTCTCGCTGCCTCTGCTCCCGCTGATACTGCTCTCGCTGAAGTTGCTCTCGCTGCATTTGCTCTCGCTGCAGCTGCTGGTGATGCAACTGCTCCTGCTTGGCCCAACCGGGCACATGACCCGGCACCGGTGGCGGTTTACCCTTGGTCGCCGTGGCCGCCGCACCGGTTTCGAAGGTGTGCTTGATGTTGCCAAACTTGTGGGTCCAATTCGAGACACTCCGACCGCCACCACCGCCCCAGCCGAGCCCGGTCTGATGACTCTGCTTGTTGATGAAGGCCAGGAACTTGTGATCGTTCTCCGTCTTCGGTTCAAACGGTGGCACTGCGTTGTGAACTCGTCGCTTAACGCTCACCTGAACGGCTCGCTTCAGTCCCAAATGCGGACCCTGTTCATCCTCCACATCCGAATCCGAATCACAGTCGGCCATATACTTGGCCTTGGCCTTGGGTATATCGATGGTGTTGGCCCGCTTCATCAGGTGCTTCTTGCCTCCCCCAAAGCGGCTGGAATTCGAACTAGAATTCGAATTCGTTTGTGAGTTACTCGGCGAGGTTGCATTGCCATCGGGACCCTCGGGACTTGAGTTCTGTGAGTTCTCGTAGCTGGCAAAGCTGACGGCATAATCACCGGACAATGGACGCCTGTTTGCGTTGCTATTCGTTGGTCTCAATTGAGCGGAATTCTGACTGGGATTTTGAATAACTGTGGCTGGGGGCTGGACAAACTGATTGGGTCTATACAGTTGCACGGGCACTGCACTCGAACTGGGCGTTTTGGCCAAAGCGAAATCCTTGCCCTCTAATATCAGCATATCCTCCATGTATCGCCGGGCATCCGCCAGTTCCTCGCGACTCACGCCCACCGTATGACGGCTATTCCGCTGGCGACGCTTGGCGAATCGAGCTGGAGCCGTCGTTTCCGTTTCCGGATCAGCTTCGTTTTGATCCTCCGCTTCCAACTTCTCGGGCGCACTGAGTCCACTTTGCAGGCGGGCCACCAGGCCGAGCAGAGCCTGCCGCTGGCCCCCATCGACGGTTAGGTCCTTGCCCTGTTTGAGGCTGCTCTCCAGGCGGCTCAGGGCATCGGTCACCTCCTCGACGAGGCTGCGATTCGCCTCGCTGCTTTGCTGTTGCAAGGTGTCGCGCAGACCGGCGGCCAAGAGACGCAGATCCTCACCGCTCTCCGTGCCGGAATCTTCTTTGGACGGAACACTCAAGCGAGTGCTTGGAGCTCCAGATCCCGTTACCGATCCCGTGACCGATCCCGTGACTGGCATTGTCGCTGGCTTGGCTTTATCCCTGGCCCTAACCACTGTGCTAACCTGGCTACTGACTAGACTACGCGTTTCCCTACCACCTAAGCTACTACTGCCTGATCCTGATCCTGTTTCTGCCGTTCCTGCTGCTCCTTTGGCTCCTGTTTTCTTAGCTGCCGGCAGGGACTCACCCTGAACTTGAACCTCTGCGGTGGAGGAGCTAGATTCACTGGCCAGCTCAACTTGGGCCAACTTTTTGCTAACACTTTCGGTCTTTTGTTGGGTAACCTCTTGTTTGGTGACCTCTTTTTTGGTGACCTCCTGTTTGGTGACCTCTTTTTTGGAAACCTCCTGTTTGGTAACCTCTTTTTTGGCAACCTCCTGTTTGGTAACCTCTTTCTGGGTCACCACCTCCTTTTTGGGCTCTGGTTGGGGTTCCTCCTCCTCGTCACTGTAGTCGGTCACCTCCTCGATGATCTCTTCATACTCGCTGGCGCTGCTCTCCTCCTCCTCCTCCTTCTTTTTTAACTCCTTCTCCTCCTTCTGCGGCGCCTGCTTCAAATTCTTTTGCTCTGATCGACGCAGCAAAAAGAAAGAAAAGGCAAGAGATAAAGGAGAGATTTGTAGATAGAGAAAAAGAGGAAGTGGTGGAAAGAAAGACTTAAGACTCGGAACAAGAACGCAATAAAGCAATCAAAAAAACTCAGGGGGAGGGACGATAACTGCTCAGTTGAACGAATATTTAATTAGGGTAATAATGGATAACCTAAGGTATTTCCCTAAAATACCTTATAAACCCATCACCATGCTTTCCGATTCGCACAACTGGACATCGATACAAATCGAACAATTTAACGATCGATGACTTTTGTCTTGGGCGTACAATGGATCGATTCCAATTCTATGTGGGTCTTCGAGGTGAGACTTTCACTGAGCGACGAGAACATTGAACGATAGATAGATAGCTAGATATATAGATAATACAACAAAGTAACGATAGCACTATAACGATAAACGATGTGTGTGGAGCGCGACGAGGAAACGATAACGATAATGTTCATCGACTGTGGGGATTGGAACAATGGACATGACCAACATTGAAAAACGCTGGGTGCTGCAATACCTGGAGACTAACGGTAACCGAGAAGAAGAACAATCAAATCGGATAAACTTTCGTCCTTATTGGGACTTCAAATATCCTGCCTAGCTAGTAGTTGCTGTGCGCATTATCTACAAGATACAGATACAGAACACACAATATTTGTACATATCGATATCACTGCTTGTCCGGGTGGATGTCATCGAGGAAGTGTTGAGCTAATCCGCTGGCCTTTTTTCTTTATGTTTTCTTTCTTCTTTGGTTGGGTTATATTATGTATGTACTTAAGATACTTTATAGAGAGCGGGACACTCACCTTCGCGTTCCGCCATAAGTTCGCGTAGACGTGCACGGATCTTGCGACGCTCCTCGTAGGTGGACGCCTGTTCCAGCTGCAAGCGTTCGAGGATGGATGATTGGTGATTGCAAAGGGTATTATGAATTGGTGATGATATTCTAGATCTGTCCATTCGTCTGTCCGTCCGTCTGTCCGTCCGTCTGTCCGTCCGTCTGTCCGTCCCTTTATCCGTCCGTTTGTCTGTCCGTTTGTCCGTCCGTTTGTCCGTCGGTTTTTCCGTTCGTTTGTTCCTCCGTTTGTCCGTCCGTTTGTCCGTCCGTCTGTCTGTCCGTTTCTATGTATTCTACTAGGCATTACTCACCAATTGCTTGAGGACTTGCTCGTCCCAAATCTCCTCGATGTCACAAGTTGTACGTGTAACTGGTGCTGAGGAGCTGGAGCTGCTGACCTTGTTGTTGTTGTTGGTGGATGATGTGCTATTGCCGGACTTGCTGTAGGTATTGGTAATCCGCGTGGTCTTTACCTAAAAGCAAGAGAACAGAACAGATTAGCAGGCGTTCGATAGTATTTTAATTTTTTTTTATTTGTTTATCAACCGGAAAATTTCTTGTCTTTTTTTTTTGGGTTTTGTGTGTGGGTGAGAAACAAACGCCAGCTGTTTTGCTGGGGCCTGGCTAAATAAAGCACGATGAGCACATTCGCCGGCCACAGAATCCAATTATTCACTTTGCCAAGAGATGCCAACAACAAAATGTGGTGTTGCTTGGTGGCACCTCTTGGTGGATCGATTGATCGATCGATCGATCGATGGCCGTGATAAGGCAGAAACCGAAACAGAAACCACAAAATCAATTTGTCCTTAGCCGTGATTTTGCCGCATTTGCCACCCCCGCAGCAGCAGCTTCCGCCAGCAGTTGATCAATGTCGCTGCATACCTGTCGTATGCGTAATATGCCCAAGTATAATATACAAAGTGCGCATACGACACGTTGACCAAAGGTAAAGCCCCAAACAAAAGGGGAATAATCGCATTCTTCCTGCTTTGTTGTTCTTAAATAATTTATTGATGCTTTATGTGCTTGCTTTAAAAATATTCTTAAAATTTTAATTAAAATAAAAACCTTTTTTTTCAAGCTAAAAGGAAAATTAAAATGTTTCCTTCGACTTTCGACTTTTTTACTCTTAAAAAGCATTTAAAATTGAGACCATTCCCCTTTTAGGAGTTCATTGATATTGGCATAGCGACATCAAAATAAAAACGTTATCAGTGAATTTACGGTGAAAATTCATTTTAATTGCCCCAAAAAAGTAAAATGTGCCAATAAAATTTCTCTTTGTGCCGGCACATCAGATAAATCAGCTAAAAGCGTTTATAGACCCCCTGAATTGATGCCAAAATATTGATGCATATAGTAAATGTCTTTATAGATATATAGAGTGCAATTAAGTATACGCCGCGTTGGCCGCCTGCAATTTATGATGATGATGAAGCAAAGATGAAAAAAAGAAAAGAAAATGCTCTATGCTTTTGCTCTCTGGCTTCTGGCGGAATGAAAAATTGAAAAATTTCTAGTTGTTTATATCAATTTGACCAAATTTGGTCAGCGGCATGGGAAATTTTTCGTTTTCTTTTTGAAATTAGAAAAACTGACTTCCAACATGTTCGGAAAAACGCCCCCGCTCTTCCTCTTGCAACACGCGTTGCTATTTATAATTATAAATTATTTAGGCACACATACACACATTTAAATGAACGAGGAAAAGTTCCTCATATTTTCCTCTCCCAATTTTTCCCACTCACTCTCTCTCTCTCTTTTTCTCTGTGTTCTTTTGGGCCAAACTTTATATAATATTTTCGGTGTGTTGGCTTATAAACAAAATGTACCCAACAACAACAACAATCAAACCAAAATTAATTGCCAAACATTTTTACATTTTGTTATTGTTGTCAAAATGTGGGCCACAAAATACAAAGATTTTCAATCTAATTTCAACTTGATTTAATTTGTATTTTATTCTTTTTTTTTTTTGCTTTTGGTTTATTTTTAATAATTTCTTTTGTTGTTTTTTTTTGGGGGACTGAAAAGGCTTGCCAACTATTTGGCGCAATTCCGCCAAAGCGTAACAAAAATAGAGGGGTAGCAAACCAAGCATGGAAATCAAAATGGAAATTGCAAAAAGAAAACAATTAAAAAAATAGGGGAAGGGGGGAGTGCAGCTGACCAAAGCGTTCATTGCCAGTTAGCTGATTTTTCTGCTGCACTTGGCCATTGACTGTTGCTGCTGGTCAACATTTTTGTTTCTCTCTTCTATTTTCTATTTTTTTTTCGGCTTTGACACTGCCTGAAAATGTTGGAGAAAAAAAGGGGGTCGTTTGATTGATGGCCACCAATTTGTACCGGCAGCCAGACACTGTCGAAAAATGGAACACCTAATTATAGGTTTTTTTTGGGAATTTTTAGAAAATTTCTTGATCGGGAAAAATTAAAATTCTTTTAAGATTTTTACTACACTTGAAACTGTTTCCCAATTATATTCTACACTAAAGTCCAGCTTTAAATAACAATTTAATAATAATTAGATTCACTACTGTTTATTATTTTCATATTCAGTTTAAGCTGTTCAAATAATTTATTTTGCATTTATTTTTTGCCAAAATATATAAACCCAGCTTTTAGAGTCCCCTATTCTTTCAGTGTTCTTTCGTACTTTAACCGCTATTGACTTCCTGCGAAAAGAAAAACATTAAAACTCAACCAATCACACACGATTTTCCATGCGAAAGAGTGATGATTTTCATTTTGCGTTTCCACAAATTGACTTTTTTTCGTTTTCGATTTTTTTTTTGTGTTTCTTCTTTTGTTGTTCGTTGTGTTGTGTTGTTATTTGTATTTTTAGCTCGGGCAAAATGAGAAATTATTTGACATGCAAAATGCGAAGCAAAAAGACAAAGGCGAAACACAGCCAACACGCACACACAGTGATTATGAAACGGCAAAAAGCAGGAAGAAGCAGCCGACAGAAATGAAAAAAAAATGATTGGAACGATGGGAGTCGCAGTTAAGACTGTTTGACAAAGCACGATATGCGGCATATACACTGGATCCGAAACCATATATATATATGGTATTTACAATGCACAACTCGAACTAGAAAAGATATAGAGGGGCATCTAAAAAACATGCTAGTCGAAATTTGTGTTGGCTTAGCCTCACCGTTTCAGCTGTTTTTTAAATGTCGACGGGGCTTAAGTTATTATCCCCTGTGTTCCCGAAACCTCGAAAGATTTAAGAACAATATTTTTTGTTTCCCAGAGTCTACAAATATAATGAATGGCTCGTGTGATCTTATGTAAACTTATTATGATTCAGTGTTGCTTACTTTTTTTATATTCAGTATAGCCTACGGTCACACTAATTTTGTTCTTAAGGTTTTCTTGTATCAATTTGATATTATTAATTTAAAACTTTAGAGTTATAGGTATTATAGCTTAATAATTTCATATTTTTCCCCCTATATCATTAGCCATATTCCTAGGTTCCCTTTTCTGATGAAAAAGCTCGCTTCTTGAGTCAGTGTGATAGGGGCATAATGGAAACCGGCTTCCCAACTCGAAGCACTTGCAGCAGCAGCACCAGCAGGCGATGCTTAATCACCAAACGCAGAGTTGCTGAGCTGAAAAAGCGGGGAGGAGCTTGGGGAACTTGGGGAACTCAGGAGGTTGAAGCGGCGTTTGAGGATTTGCCGCTCTGCATGTTACGCTCAACTAAGTACAGGGGCAGCAGCAGCAGCAGCGCTGCACACCTGAAAATGGCAAACTGAAACGGCATTTCTCTACGTTCCAGTTCGATCGGTTGGAATATCGGGGATCCGTTGGGTTTGCCATGGGGTCTTGCCTTTTGAATGGGTCTGGAGTGATGATGATGGTCAGAAAACCCAGCATTATGATGGCTGACTACTAGTAATGAAACTTTAAGATCTCCAAGAATAATAACCCCTATCTTAGCTATTTGCAATTCTAAAGATTCTTTGAAGTTAAATATAATTCTATAAAAATAGGACATTTTCTGCAGCTGCATTTTTGTAAATTTTTTGATCGTAAATATCTATTTTATTTGCTTTTGCGATCATCTGGAACCACCTTGTTGGGATCAGTTTTATAGGCATGATTTGAATGACTTTTTCGTTCTCCAAGAGAAGATGTGCTTTATATGCAAATGCCAATGCGTTCGTTCAAACGCACATATATATTTGGGAGAATTCGTAGCATCGGCCGTGCTGTGGGGAATATATCTGTGGGAATCGGTATTTGGTTCACACAAGTGGAGGAAACGGGAACATCAGATGCCTGAAGTCCGCTGCACATGCACCCCCTTCCTTTTCTCCTTCCTCCCTCCTCCCTACTTCCTCCTCCTTCTCCTCCTTCTGCCATATATTTTGTGTTGCCCAAAAATGCTCCAACATAGTCCGAATAGTCCGTATAGTCCGTAAAAATAGTGCCCGTCGTTTGGAGCTATTTTTGTCGAAATTTTCCGTACGCTTGACGCTTGACGCTCTCATTCATGCATCCTCATCCTCCTGCTCTCCGCTCTGTTTTTAAATGTATTTATTTATTTATTTGCTCTATAGCTGGCAAGATGAGCGTGTCTGTATCTCGGCAGACTTCTACCTATATATATATATAGATATATCTATATGTGTACGTATAAATAGCTATATGTATCGGTGGATATAGATCTTTCAAAATATATATATATTTTGTATTGTATGTATAGAGAGCGAGAGATTTGTGGCGGTGTCGTCGCCTTTCAGGTGCATTTTGAGGTGTCGTGACAGGAATGCTTCGTTTTGCCAGCAAATTATGCGCACTAAAAATAATTGACAAAAGTATTTGCCCTCGCCACCCCATCACCACCCATCTTGCCCCATCCAACTTGCCCCATAAGCTGAAGTGACATGAAACTTACGCCTTGCTTTGCCTTTGCTTTTGCTTTTGCTTGTGCTTTGCTTTTTGCCCCTTGCTTTTGTGTGATGTTGCTCACGGGATTGGGATTCTCGGGATCTGCTCTTTTGCTGTTAGACGTAGACCAAATATGGACACTCGCGTTCGTTCACCATATAGCGATATAACGATAGTATAATAACAGAACTCTGCACAGTAAAAAAAACAAACTACAAAACTTGTCTTTTCTTATGCGCGCTTCTATTGCTTATTATTACTCTTTTTTTATATTATTTTCTATATTTTTTTTTGATCTGTTAACACAAGTGGTTCGCTTGGCACTCTTTTATTATGCTTTTTTCTTTGGCTCAGCTCTTCTTTTTGTTTGCCCGTGGTTCTTCGCACAAGTGATCGATGCCGCCTCTGAGTTTCTACTGACAATTTCGATCTCGATGCCGAGATGCGCTTCTGCCGCTGCCAGCTTCGCTGCCGCTGCCGGCAGCCTCTGCTAATGCCCCATTAAACAGCAGCGGAAGAAATAATAGAACTTTCTGAACAATATAAAATTTAATATTTTTTTAACGGGATTATGGAGACTTATTTATGAGTTAATATCAGAATTGATATTAAAACTTGTAAATTTATATAATTGGAATTTAATTTTTTTTTGTTAAACTTTTAATTGATAAATTTTAGACTTATTTATGAGTTCATATCAGAATTATCGTAAAATTTTGAATTTAATTTTTTTGGTTAACTTTTTACAATTTTTTAGTTATGGATCATAGCTTTTTATAGACATTTAAATTGCAAATTATTAGGGAAAAATTTTGTAATTTCGAATTAAAAGATTTATTGTTATTTTTAGCGCTCTAGACGCTAGCATAAATTTTAACCAACTGAATTTATTTATTTTCAAAATTCATGATAAACTAAATGTGTAGGTTTCGATTTAATATACAAATGCATACAATTTTGGAGATGTAACGCCATTTTTTCTAAATGGCTATGATTTTTTTTTTTCATAAAATTACTGCATCAGAAAAAATACCCTAAGGAACAAAATATATAAACTGATCTGTGCTATTCTAACGGCCGTTGCTGTTTTTGTTGCTTTCTGACCAGCCAGGCATTGCTCATCTATCGCATCTCCTCGCACATCGCATCACGCACACGGCACACACAGGCCGCCAAGTGCCACACTGCCACACAAGTGCGAACGGGACGGGCGGTGGGGAGAGAGGAGAGAGCAACGGTTGTTGCACACCAAACTTACAAAAGAGAGATGGGGGGAGAGCGAGAGCACGCGCTCAGTTAACGGTTAATCGAGCACGTGCACGTGCTTGCGCGCATCATTGAGGTTAGGTTATGCTTGCATGGCACTTGCAGCAACAAAGACTGACTAAAACGTGCAACAAGTGCTGGGAAAACGGTAATAAAATACGGCTTTTGTCTCAAATGCAGCCTCGCATGGGAGATAACTTGGCTAAAGCGCTTTTCTGGGGACAGTGCATCGTTTTTTAGATACAAATAAGATGATTCTGTGGGCTTATTTTACTCACCCCCTGACTGTTTAGACGCTGACCCGTGGCGGTGGGTGGCAGCATGCTTTCCACTCCCTGCATAATGACACTGGCTCCCAGGAATTTATTGAGCAGAGCACGGGCCTCGCGATCCTCGCTGGTATCGCCGGGTTCCTCCACTGAAAAATTCCAAAAATACAGTAAGGGAAATAAGATAGGGTTTGTATTAAATTCTCACCATTATCGGCATTTCGCATACGCTCGAGTACATCGTCCACACTGGTAACCTGACGCTGATCGGCACTGCTGTTGAGGAATGATCGTGTATTACTGGATCTGGTGGTGCTACTACTACTGATGTGGCTCTGATTTTGACGCATCTGCGGGGCCTCGATGACGCTGCAGACCTCGTTGGACTCGCTATCCTCCTCGGTCTCATCCTCGTGCCTCACCACCGACTGACTCGAATGGGTGGACGAGGAGGACTCCTTGCGTATGAACTTCTCGCTGAGCTCCTTCACCGATCCGCGACGCACATATCTGGCATCCTCGGGCAGCGATTGCTGGGATTGCTCCACCTTCTTGAACTCCCGCACCACGCGGGCATCCAATTCCGGAGCTGTCGAGCTGTCGTCCTCATCCTGAAGCTGCTGCTTTATGGCAGCCAGTTCGTCAGCGTTGCTCGAGTAGATCAGCTCCTTGCGCTCGTGACGAGGTGGCGACTTGTTGTCCGAGTAGAACTGCTCCTCGATCACATAGCCTGTGACTTCTAGATGGGTATAGGATTGACTATGAAATAAGAATCTATGCTTCAAAGGTTCTACTCACCTTGCTTGGTCTCCTCTGCCGGTGGTGGCGTTGTCTTCTTCTTGAGTGCCCTAATCCCGAAGAGCGGCAGTCCGTTCTCGTCCGTGGGTCCCACACCATAACTGGAGGTGATCGAGTCCTCTTCGCGCTGCTTGTTCCTTGTGTTGGTGGTGCTGCTACTCGAGGAGCTAGTGGTGGTGCTGGAGCTGGTCAGGGTGCGTGTAATCTTGCCACTGCTCGAAGTGGTACTGGAAGTGGATCCCTTGCGGGTGGTACTACTACCATTGGTTTGACCCTTGAGCACCTTGGAGCGATCCGCCCAAATGGGACCACCTCCCTGAGCGGGTTTGCTGGACGGAGCAGGAGCATTGCGGGTAGTGGTGCTACTGGTGGTGGTGGTAACCTTGGTGGTGCTCCTTTCGCCAGGCGATTGCTTGCCCGGTGGACTAACGCGACGTTTCTGGGCGGGACTGGCACTTCTCTCCCTCGGCTTCACCGGCGGCTTGCCCTGGGGTGAAGTCTTACTACTGTCCACCTGTTCCACCCGCCGGCGACTCGTGATGGTGCGAACCTCCTTGGTCTTGGTCTCAGGACTCTGATCTCGCTTCTTACCCGGAATTGTGCTCGTTGTAATCGTAGTGGTTGTAATGGTCGTACCCGCATTGATCATGTTCTTGCGTATGAGACGCATTTGGGCGCGTATACGACGACGCATTTCGTAGCTGGCCACGGTTTCCAGGAGTTTCTCCAGTCTCGCCAAATCGAAGATCTCCTCGATCTCAGGAAGCTCCGAATCGGAGGCGGAGTCCTCATCCTTACCCTTTGGTTTGGATGTCTTTCGCGGCACATCGAACTTGACGGCTGCATTGGGATTGCGTGGCTCTACGGGAGAATCATCCTCCACCGAGGACTTTCGGGAGTAGTGACTCTTGCTGATCTCGAGGGAATCGCGTCGAATGTGCTCCAGTGAGCTCTTCGTGTGATCCATGTACGAGGGACGACGTCCAGTCGTGGGCTCGGAATCCACAGGAGATTCCTCAGCTGGCTCAAAAACATTCCGGCGGCTAGCCACATTGCGTCCCGTGGTGGTGATTGTCTTTTCTGTAACGGATTCAATGAGTGTGATTTCGGGTTCGTCTCTGGTTGGGTTAGTCGTAGTCGGTTTGGGGCTAGTTGACTTGGTGGTCGTGGTGGTGGTGGTGCTCGGGTGGTGCTCAGTGGTGGTGGTGGTTGTGGTGTTTAAATTGGTGGAGGTGCGTCTACTGGGCGATCGGGAAGGAGATCGCGATGGCGATGGGCTCTTTCTGTGGGTAGGTGGTGCTGGTCCCACCACCTCGACGTCCACATCGACATCTTGGACAACCCATGATTGCTGACTGATTTGCTCCATGCGCTTGGAAATGCTATTTGTCCTGGGTGCTGCAGGTGATTGGGCAGCGGGAGTTGGTTTCCTAGTTCCCGGCTTGTTCACATTGCTCACTTGATTTCTATACGATCTCTTCTCTTCCGAAATCAAACTGGTACTTGGACTTGGTCGACCACGATTCCCGTTCAACTTAGTTGGTGATGGCGTAGTGCTGGGCTTGCGTTCTGGGGTTCGTTGGCCAAAGACAGAGGGTCGGTTGAGTATATCCTTCTGACGCTTCAGTTCGATGGCTGTGGTATGTGTCTTGGTCATCGGTGAAGGTTCCTCATCGAATTCTTCTGCGGGGGAGAAGTCCGGCTCTTCCTCAGATTGTCTTGGTTCTTTTTGGGGTGTCTTCTTGGGTTCCTCTTTGGGCTTCAACCCCTTGGACTCCTTTCTGTTTTCCCTTTCAGGTTCATCTTTGAGCTTAGTTAAGGGTTGCTTAGGCGCATCTCTTTGAGGTTGCTTCTTGGGCTCCCATTGTGATACTTTTTGTGGTAGCTTTGCCTGATATTTGGGCACCTTGGCAGGTTCTTCTTTGAGCTTGGTTGGTGTTTCTTTTTGGGTTACCTTCTTGGAATCCCTTCGTGTCTCCCTGGTTTCTTCAGTTTGTTGCTTAACATCCCTTATGGTGGTTTCCTTCCTGGTCACCGAATGGCTTAGCTCCTCCTCGGTGTCCTCCACTTGGCTAGTTTGATTGCCATCCTCTACATCCGTATCGCGATCCAGTTCGGGCTCCGACTCCTCATCCAACTCGCGCTCAGGCTCGCTTTGCCGGGAGATATGACGCTCGATGTTGGCCACCAAGCGTGGCGATTTCTGCGGCATGGTGGGCGCCAATTTCTCGGCTGTGTCGATAAATTTGTGCACCTTCTGGGAGACACTCAGTATGCAATCGTCCCGCCGAAGCTCCTCATCGATCTCCTCCAACCCGGGGCGTTCGATTTCCGGTCGCGGAGAGAGCGAAGAAGGTCTAATTACGTTCTCTGCCGTCCGCAGGAACTTGTCAACCTTTTGGTTAATGCTAAGCAGACACTCGTCGTTCTCGGGAATCTTGGCATTCGTATCGAATTCCCTGCTAAATGGTGCGGAGACCCGGGGTTGCTTCACCTTTTCGGCCGAGTGCGTGAATCGCGAGACCTTCTCGTGGACACTCAATAGACTCTCGTCCGTATCGGGTGTATTAACGGGATAGTCCAGGCTCTTGGGAGCCTCCACAGTGGGATTGTCGAGTATCTCCACCTCAAGGCCATTGGAGCTGCGCAACTCGGAGATCTGACAGCCCACATACGTCTGCGATTCCTCCTCGAAAATGGGTATATTTGTGACCTGTGGCTTGCGACGCGGTTCATCGTCGGGCTCCTGGACGACATCCGGATATCGGGGCTTTCCCGTTTCCAGTTCAGCGGGCACGGGGGTAGGCACAATCCTATCCGGCGATGGTTCCCTGGAGCTCTTCGCCTGCTGAATGTCGATGATTACACCCTCTATATCGGTGGCCGTATTAATGCGCTGCTCGCTCAGATTGATCGTCTTGGTGGTGCAGCATTTACTGGGTCTACCACCCGGCTTCAGGCTACTCATCTCCGGCTGAGGCTTGCTGCCGCTCGCTACCTTGATGATATTCTCGCTGGTGGAGCGAGTGACCTTCTCGGTTTTATCGCGTCGCGTTACTCGGGGCACGGGGGCCGATTCCTTTCTCTCCGTCACCGGAAGCTTCCTAATCGGACTGGCAACTCCACCGGTGGTATTTGAAGGTCGCCTCTCAGTTCTCGGGGATTTGGGAGCCGTGTGATCTATGATGATCTCCGTGTGCACGGAAATGTTGCTAGATCGACGGCGTTCGTTGTTCAACCTCGAGGGACTGGCATCTGGCGAGGTAGAGTCTCCATCGACATCGTCCTCGGGGTTTCGGGGTTTTCCACCCGGAGTGGGTGTTCGGTTCTGCTGCGGCGAGGTCTTTTGCTTGCGCGGCGAAGAACGAAGACGATCCTTGATGGAGGGTGTACCATTTGAGTCGCTGGGCTTACGACGCTGAGTTGTTGTCGTCCTCGTGGTTTGAGTCTCCTCCACCAAGCTATCCCGCTTGCGAGCTTGAGTCAGCGAGTCCTTGCGAGGACTCTTTGCAGCCGGAAGCTTTGATTGCGGCTCCTTGGTCGAAAGTGGTTGCTTCGTTTTAGTGGTTTTCGTAATGCTCACAGCGGTCTTCTTCTTCGTCTCCGGTTCTGATTCCTTCTCGGGCTCCGATTCACTTTCGGGTACTTTCTCCGGCAACTTTTGTGTTGGCTTTGTGCTCTTTTTCGGGGTGGTGGGACTTGGAGTGCGTGGCCTCTGACTGATTTTCTCCACAACAGTTTTCCCCTGGCAATCAATGATCTTTTCGGTCACAAAGCTCGACTCCAGCTTGCTTGGAATCTTTCTACCAAAGGTGGGAGAGGGAGATGGAGACTGGGAGTTCTTGGGAACTCTACGTTCGGGAGAGGGAGATTTGGAACCCTGCTTAGTAATGATAATGGTGGTCTCTTCATTCACATTAATAGTCTCGGCATCCTCTTTAGGATTCCTGGGCTTCTCCTTGGGACTGTCTTCTTCCTTTGGATGCTTGGGATACCTGGAAGTTTCTTCCTTGGGAAGAACAGGAGTCTGTTCTTTCTTTGGAGCCCTTGGAGTATCTTGATCCTTTTTAGGAGCTTTGGGAATCTCTTCCTTAGGAGTCACCAGAAACTCCACATCCTCCGACTCGGTCACATCCACGAGGAGCTCCTCTTCCACCTTAATCTTCGGCTGCGTACGTACCACAAATGTCTCCGTCACCCGACGGGGTTTATCATCGTCATCATCATCGGGACAATCTTCGATCTTAACTTGGATGGTCTCTATGGTGGTATGGGTAACACTATCGTCTTCCCGATCGTCGTTCGGTTTCGGGGTGAAAGTTCCCTGAGTATCGCCATCTTCCTCCATACCCAAAATTTGGCGACAGCGATCCTCGAAGGTCTCACGACGAGTCAAACCCTTCTTCCGATAGGTGGGTGCCTCCTTCTCTTCGGGTTGCTCCGCAGCTTCAGTAGTTTTGGACGGGAATCCACCATCTGGACTTTCAATGGTCTCCTGCGGCTTTGTTTTAGGCTCATCCTTACCTGCAGCCTGGGGTTTCTTTTCGTAATTCGTCTGATTTTGGTTATCTCGTTCGTTCGTTAGAAATTCTTCGTTTAAATTGTGGGTAGTTCGTTTTTGGGTTGTGGTAATGGTGCTGCGAAATATCTCTTCCTCGTCGCGTCTTTGCTTGCTGGTTAGATCCTGCTTTTCGGGACTTTGCCGAGGTGAAACACGGGGTAGTCCGGCAGCTTTTTCGGGTGTCTGGTTACGGGGTATTTGCTTCTCTGGACTTTGACGCGGAGAAGCACCAGGTTGGCTAACTAGAGGAACCTTCTCGGGACTCTGGGCTCGGGGTAATTGCTTTTCGGGACTCTGACGGGGAGAGACTTTGGGCTGAGCCTTCTCGGGAGTCTGGAAACGGGGTTGCTCCTTTTCAGGGCTTTGCCGAGGAGTAGCCCTAGGCTGCGGCTTCTCGGGACTCTGAGCCCTAGTGGTTGACGGTTTGCCGAGACTCTGAGATGCCGACAAAGTGGGCAAGCCCGGAGCACCGCTCATCTGTTCAATGAGAAGCAACTCGTCGATCGAAAGCTCTCGATCCTCCGGCTGAGAGACGCGACGACCCTCAAAGGTCGTTTCCCGCTGCACCGGACGTGGCTCCACAGTGGGCGACTTGGAGCTACGCCTCAACTGAGGCTCCGCTTCATCCTGGTGGGGCCTCCTCATTGGCTGGGGCTTCTTGCTGGCTGCAACGGATGAGGGCATAAGACTGGGGGACTCTTCTACTTCTTCAACCGTTCTGTGTGTGCTTAGGTGTTTCATTCACAAGTTGTGTCTACTGATGGCAAAGCCCGTTGTTAATTGGTTAGGATTAGTTACAACTACTCTGGCTCAAGCTGAGCTGTTAGGCAAACTCTACGATATTAGGCAGGCACAGGCACGGTCTCAAGCAAATACACCCATTAGTGGAAGCTCGAGAGGAAGAAGAGGTTAGTGGATATCTCTCATTTTGCAACCCAAGTAAGTAGTTGACTTCCCAGTTTCAGTGATTCGGTGCAATTTCAATTTCGTGTGTTTTGTGCTTTTTTTTTTTTTTTTTTTGGTCAAGACATTGAACATTGAACATTTCAGAGTTGCGGTTTTTGGTAAACAGTTTTCAAGTATATTTATTTGCAAAAAAATCCAAAAATAAAGAAGTATAGATAGCATAGTAGTTAGGTGTACAGAGTTTCTTGATATATTTTTTTTTTGGCAATTTGTCGGGTAGTGGAGTTGAATTCAAGCCTTACCAGGGGTCCCTGAGCTCTCGGGCGTCTCGGGGCTTTCCCCCTCGTTTCCCAGCTGGTAATATTGACGCCGCACACAGGGTGCCTCTTCCACCACCATTGCCTCGTTAGCGCTCAGCTTCACCTTTTGGATCGGCTGGTTATCGAAATCAGGATCGGGTTGTTTCTGCTTGTTCTTGGAGGTGGTGGTGGTTGTTGTTGTTTTGGTGGTGGTTAGTGTTGGTTCGTTGTTAATAGTAGGAGGAGTAGTTGGTGGCAGAGAGAATATATCGCCGGGCTTAGTGGTAGTATACGTATACTGTGATAGCTTGTTATCTGAAGGATATACATTCATATACATAGTTCATAGTTCCAATATTTATATAGCATATATTATATTCATGTGGTTTCTCAAACTTTTGTTTTTTTTTTTTTATTTATTTATTTTTTTTTTCTAATTCGTACCTGGTGGTGCGGAACTGGCTGGTGGTGCGGCTGAGGTGGGTGAAGCTGGTGCTGGACTGGGACTGGACTTGGTGGTGCTGCTAATGGTGGTCGTGGTGGTTATTGCTCCTCCTCCTGCTGTTTTCGGAGTGGGCGACCTGGGCTCACTACTGGGACCTCTGGACACCGGTGGCTTGGTGGTCTTGGTCTTGGTGGTGCTGCTAGTGGTGCTGCCACCTGTCTGATGCCTGGTCACAGTGGTCGAGCTGATCCTGCTCGATTCCGAAGGCGCCTGGCTGTCATGGGAACCCTCTCGCATCTCCCGTCTGAAGGTGCGATTCGAGGAGACACTCGATCGTGGCGTCTGATGGTGGTGGTGCTGCGAACCCACCGAGGTGGTGCTGTCCGCCGGCGAACTGCTGCGCAGTGAGGCGGCAAAGGCCCGATGGGCGGCATCCACCTCGCGCTCCTTTTGCAACTGACGGCGAGTCAAGGGCTCCGAAGTGGTGCTGGTCGTCTTGGTGGTGCTGGTGGTGCTGGGACGGGACTGACTTGGTTTGCCGGCTGGTCCACGAGGCGAAGCATAATCCTCGCGTGGCTGAGATCGTCGAGGACTTCCAGATCGAATGCCGGAAGGTGAATGTTCCACCTGTGTCTCAATTATCCGCTCCGTGTTCGTTTTCCTATTGGCACTCTGATTGCGACTCACCGTCTTGGAGGTCTGCAACACCTCGCCATCGGGACGATCGGGGTGGTTGGTGGTTGTGCGCACCGAGGGAAAGCCGTGGGTGCTGAAATCCTCATCCACCGGATGACGTCTGGTGGTTGTGGGTTGTTCCCAACTGGGCGATGGAGCCTCCCTCAGCTTCTGGGGGGATCTCTCGTGGGGTGACTGGTAATCCTCACCCAGCACCTCCGTTTCGGTGGTGCGCTGTGAGCTCGTCTGCTGCTTCACCTGGCGGCTCTTCTCGGAACGCACCACCACCACCTCTTCGGTGCCGGGCCGTTGGGAGGCATACTCCTGGGTGGGCTTATTCGGACGCACCGAGGGAAAGCCATGGGTGCTAAAGTCTTTGGCCGGCGACTGGCGTGGTGAGTGGGTGGTTGTCGGTGTGGTTGTGGCTGAGGGAACCGGTGCCTTTTGCACCACCCTGGACAAGGGCTGACCACGATCGTCGTACTCCTCCACCGTTTCCGAGGTGGTCTCCGTGGAGAATCGCCGACTGGACTTCTTCACCGAGGAGAAGCTCTGCGACTCCGTCACATGCTTTTGCTCCACATTGTCCACCACATCGCGAACCTGACTATCCTGCACATCCTGAGCTCGTCGCTGATTGTGGGTCTGATTGTGGGTCTGATTGTGGGTCTGATTGTGGGTTTGAATGTGGGTTTGATTACGGGTCTGGTTGTGGGTCGTCTGACTCTGACTCGGAGTAAGTTGCTCCGTCTCGTAGCGCTTGTTCTTGACAATGGTGCCATCGGGCAGTCGCTTAACCGTGGTGATCATCTTGACATTCGGCTTGGGATACTCCACCGTATTGGAGATGATCTCGCCGGGCTGCTCCATCAAATGCTGGACATGGCGTTGATACTCGGGCGATGCCTTGTCCATATCCACATAGCGCTTGTTCTCCTCGTAATGCTGCTGGGTCTGGACATTCCGGGTGCTGTTGCTCTGCTCGCGGCTCTCCGAGAATCGCTCCTGTTGCTCCTGTCGCTGCAGTTGCTCCTGGCGGATCTGTTGCTCCTGTCGCTGCAGTTGCTCCTGGCGAATCTGTTGCTCCTGTCGCTGCAGTTGCTCCTGAATGCGCTGCTCCTGACGTCTTTGATCCTGCTCCCACTCCCGTTGTTGCTGCTGCTCCTGCTGATGATGATGATGATGATGTGGCTTCGGATTCGGCCTCTCCTGGCTGTCCAGCAGATAGCGCGGCTCATCGCCGCCATACTCAACGGTCGACGAGGAGGACACCACCTTCGAGGACGACGAGGTCGAGGTGGAGCTCATCTTCATCTCGGTGCGACCGCTGGTCTCATCCCCGAAGACCACCGTCTCCTGGAGTTGGGTCTTTGAGCTATCCGAGGCCTGCTTCACGAAGTTCTTGTCATCGCCCTGATGCGAGGCACTCGAGCGCTGCTCGTTGCGACCTTTGAACTCGGCCAGGCCACCACCATTGAGCTTCTCCACGCCTGCGATTGTTGTGTCGGGGGTTGGGGGTGTTCGTAGGTCGGTGGTCGAGTGGTCGAGTGGTGGACATGGACATACAGAACAAACAGATTTTGGGTTATACACAAAACTTCACCGACAAGGGACAAGGGTGTTAGGTTGGTTAGACACTTGATGTAGACTCTGCCGATCGACTGTTTTTTTTTTTTTTTAATTATTTATTATTTAAATTCCTAGCACTACAAGTTAAACTTATATATGTTTGTCCTAGTCACGGTTACATCTCTAGCCTTTTGATAACCCCTGATTGTATTTACGACTGAAAATCATAATTAATTTTTATTTTTTTATTTTTTTTTTTTGTTAACCAAGTTTAGTTTGAAAACCAGTCAATCAGTGAACTTCCCAGCAAGTGTCTTCTATTGATGCTAGCCAGACAGAAAAGGGGGGCTACCACCAAGCATTAGAATCCGGACTCACCATCTGTTTTGGCCAGAGTTTCGGTGCGATAGGCCCGTCCATCGGGACTGACCTCCGAGGAGGTCTGCACATCCCAGCCGGTGGTATTCGGCTGGCTCAGCGTCATCGAATGGAAGCGCATCTCGTGCGTGGGACTGGTCGAATCACGGACCTCCTTCGACTTCAGGCTCTGGAAGTTCTGGTCGAGCAGGGCGTCCCCGTGGCTGGTGGCCAACGGATCCTTGCCCGCATAACCGGCCAGCTGGTTCACGTTGCCATGTCCGTTTCCGTTTCCGTTGGGCTCCGACATTGGGTCCGTTTCGTGCCTATAGAGGTTGCAAAGTCGCGACTCGCGCAGCTTATAGAGATGCGATCGGATCTGCTTCTTGCGCTCGCTGTCCTCGGACTGCTGCCACTGGAAAGGAGGAGAAAGGGAAATATTTTATTATAATATCGAAGAATATAATCTTTAAAATAGGATAGGTATAACTAACCCGTTATAATCTTGAAAATAATAATGATATAAGGGTTCTATTATAATCCTAGGTATAACAAATCTTATAATCCAAAAAAATTATGAGATAATAATAATATAAGGGATCCATTATAATCTCTAAGAATATAATCTTTAAAATGGTATAGGTATAACCAATACGTTATAATCTTGAAAGTTATGAGATAATAATGATATTAGAGGATCCACTATAATCTTGAAAATTATGAAATAATAATGATATAAGGGATGCTTTATAATCTTGAAAATTATGAGATAATAATGATATAAGGTATCCATTATAATCTTGAAAATTATGAGATAATATTGACATAAGGTATCTATTATAATCCCGAAAATGGTATAGCTAAAACCGCTAAAAGAATCCTGTATAATCTTTAATATGGTATAAGTATAGATAATACAAATTAATATTTTCCAGTGTAGATCTCTCAATATCTGCTCTCTTTCCAAGTATATCACCCATTTACGCTCTCTAGATAGGCAGGCACCGTCCTTGGGCCAATTAAAACCAAGTGAACTCGTGATCAAGTGGAGTCCAAGTGGAGTGCAGGGAGCCCACGCGCGTCGCTTCCAGCGGCTTGGATCGCCTTTTATGGCGCCCCCGGGCCACTAAACAATTAGCCGGTCAGCCAACACAACAAATGCAGCCAGCCATCTCGGACTGACTCAGCTCGGTTGCCTTATAGACAGAAATCGAGTCGAATTGAGTCGGGTTTCTAGCCAGGGAAATGATGATGATAAAGATGACGCCCCCAATAAGTTCTCGGATTTCAATGGCAGAAGCAGCCGATGACCAAAAATGGCTGGGATTAGCGTAAGGGTAACAAATTGGATGATTCAGATACACGAAATGATTGATGGAGATTGGTTTTCAATAGTAATAAACAGAGATACCAAACCTTTCCTATGAAATAAATTCACCTTAGTTTATCGAAATTAAACAAAGAATCGATGACAGGTTTACGGGAATTTGCTCCATTTACTCCCTTATTCTCTGGAATTCTTAGTTCCACTTATCGGAACGGAATCAAATTGAATCGAAATCGAGGGCTGACGTTTCAGCTTATAAATAAAACATGGAACAATTCCGACTGACCGATAAGCGGATCGTATTGGCCGCAACAAAGAGCCTCGTATATGATCGTATTTATTTAAACAATAATCTAGAAAGGTGGCAGACTTTATAGAGGTAGAAAGAGATAGAGACGATTAGTTAGCAAACAAATTGAGTGAAGTTGAAGCGGTGATATCACCTCACCTCACAACACACGACCAGTTTCGCTTTAGCGGAAAAACATGTCAAATAACATTTGTATTAACAATAATGACACCTCGATCTGTATGTAGAGTGGGTGATTTGGCGTTGCTAACTGTTTAAATTTAGCCAAACTGAGGCCAAATGACAGACAAAGGGGAGACCTCCCGAAACCAGATGGAACTCTATTTCTGGGGAGGAAATGAAAATATGAATAATTCGTAGATTAGTAGTTAAGATCGGGCCTTAAATTTATGATGCAAATAGGAAGTGAAATTATGAATAGTTATTTTGAGATTTGCATCTAAAGAGGTAGGGGATTTTTAATGTAATATCTAGAAAATCTCATGACCATCTGGTCATTGAGATTCGTTTTAATTAGATCAGCTGGATACCATTAGTTTTAGTTTTTCACCCCCACCTTTCTTCTAGTTTCTTCTAACTCCCAGAGATTTATGATCTCTGGCGTTTCCCTAGTTATTAGCGAAATCTCATATTTTTGTGGCATCCCCCGGTTGATTGATAGCCATGTTGGTGCTTTCTTTTCTGACAAAACGGAACGACAGATGGCGCTGCCATTACTTTCAGCGCTTTCACTCGCCCAAATCAACAGATTCGAATTGACAAAATAAAACAAAAAAGCCGCGAAATCAAAGAGCTAAACATCTAAGTGTCTGTGCAAAAAAGTTTGCAACTCTGCTTTGTTGTTTTGTTTTTTCTTTTTGTTTGTTTGTTTGCTCGCTTGTTTGGTTGTTTGCTTGTGTGTGATTTTTTTGTTCAAGAACTGGTCGCGTGGTCGCAGTCTAGACCTGCGTCTTAAAACGCCTCTGCTTGCGCCGCTGCCACAGCCTCTGCCTCTCTTTGTGCACTGAGAAAAATTGTAAGGCAATATATAATAAAAGATTTTAAAAATTACAGCCTAAAGATCCATTAAAGTTTAAATTACTTTCAAAGTTTTAGATATCTTTGTATAATATTATTTCTGCAATATTTGATAATATATGATCTCTATTTTTTAATAAATATGATCTCTCTACCCCATTTAATATTTTAATTATTATAAGAAAATCTATTTAACTTAAGAATGGTTTTTATAAATATAAATAAAAAGGTTTTGGACACAGACTTTGATATATTTTGAAAAAAGGTTCAACATATATATTTATTTCAATTTACAAATTCTAAAAACGCCATTTCAAAGCTCCTAAAACCTCCTAAAATAAATTCTTAAAAAAACACTCTTCTTGAAAACTGTAAATTATTATTTTCAACTGGTTTTTCTCAGTGTAACTCAGCCCCTGTCTCTGCCTGAATGACGTAATTTCTAAAAGTACCGGGCCGTGATAACCAGTTGAAGAAGAAGAAGAAGAAGCTGATTTCGCACCTCTGCAGCGACGTCGGCAGCGGCAACCTGTTGACGTCGACGTTGACTGCGACTGCGACTGCGGACCTAATGATGGGATGGACCGCTCTTCCCTCTCGCTCTTCTCAGCTCAGGTCTCTCTTCCCGTCTCTTTCTGATGACGTGACGTGCGAGATTTCGTTGATGTGCGAATGCTGATAAATTATTTTGAAGTTTTTTCGCTTTTTAGTTGTTGTTTTTTTTTTTCATTTGTTGAGCTGTCGTGTCAGCAATGTTGACCTCCAACTTTGTTTTTTTTTTTTCGTCTTTTTGCGCCAAAAATCTTTTTGTTATTGAAATTAAACTTTATTAAAACTTAATTGAGAGGAAATCAAAAGAGAGAGGAGGAGAAGAAGAGAAGGTCGAGGGGTCACCCGCGGCACTCCCACTTAGCCGGTGTCCACTGTACCGATAAACCTTGGCTGCGATTAGCTCATGACTAAATGTTTCCTCATTTAATTGCCCATCAATCGAGATAAGACCAGAAGTGAGTATTAAGAAAAATGTTTAAAAATAAAACATATTTTACTGAATATTTCCCTATATAGATAAGAGCTCAATGTGTTTATCAATTTCAGTGATAGTGGAGGAAAAATGTACGAAGCAAAAACGTGCAAAATAAAAATGCAGGTATTTTTTAAGCCTTATCAGTTGACTGGAAATATTAATGGGATATAGTATTGTGTTTATAAATAAAGTTGTTCTAGAAAGATTCGATTTTTACAAAAGATTAAATAATTTAATGATTTTTGAAATCATTATATCTTGAAAATGTATCACTCATACGCACTGTTGGTCAAATTTCCCATAAAACACTTCTGAAATACTATAATCACTACTATAATTAAATTTTAAAAATAAATATTATAATTTTAAATATCAAGCTTTTCTAAACATTCAAAATTTTATTTTTCACTGAAAAAAAAATTAATTGTTTTCTAAAAAGTTTAAAATGTATTTTCGGAAAATCTAAGCATGTTTTGTTCAATATAATTTTCAGTTTAATTAGGATCATTCTTAAAAAGCGTTGTAGTCTAAGAAATATAAAATTTTTTTAAATTTCAATCTTTTAAACTCAGTTTACCTTTAAGGTATTTGGGATATTTTTTTTCAGTACAAAAAAATTACTTTGCACTTTGCTGCCGGCGTTAATTGCCGTCACTTGTTGTGTATATTTTTTGCGTTTTTGCATTTTTATGGCAATTTCGATTTAAATTTCGCTACAATTTCGATTCCCCTTCAATCTGTATTGTGTACATATGCATATTAAAGTGACCTAATTGCCACTGGACATCTAGAATCGAGAATCTAGAATCGAGACTATATAGAATATAGAATTGTGTCATATTCAGTCGACGATGGCAGCGAGCAAAACATGTTTATGTTTGCTTTCGTCGTCGACTTGTTTGTGTTTTCGGTTTCGCTGTTAATTGTTTGCCTCTTATTTTGGGTATGACATCGCCCCAGGTGAATAAAACATGGCTCTATAAAACCCCAAAGCGAGTTGAGTTCTAAAAGTGGAGCACTTTCGTGGGCTGTCGTCCGTCGTCCGTCGCTTGCATATAAAATAGCCCCAGAAAAACTGAAAAACTGGACCCACATAAGCCGGTCCCCACTGTGCCATGGGAAAACGCATAAAAAGAATAACTCAATTTTTTCGGTTTTTCGGTTTTTGGGTCTTTTGGGCTTTTTTGATCGATGGACAGCTGTCAAACGGCTAAGCGTGTGGGAAATTATAATGCAAGCTTGGATCCATAGGTGATATATAGCCGGCAATCGTCACCATATCGGTGGAGCCACAAAATGGGTTTCGTATAAATCTTAAGACCAAAATGATCTCATACTCGAAAAAACGGAATGAAAGAGGGGATTGAAGAGCGGGGGGTAGTATATTTATCTTTATGCATAACGCTGTGTATTCCAGACAATTATTGGAGCTATAGTCATTAGTGCAGGTGGAGTTTTTTTGTTTCGCTGCCGGAAAAACATTTGCACTGTTTTCTCAAATTATAGTTTGCTTAATTTGAAGTCAAGGTTTCGTGATTACCAGATAAATAAATAATATTTTCCGTGAAGATCATTTGATAGTTGCCGTAAAGTTGAGATATATTCTTACGAATAAACAAGATCTTTGCTGATAAGTTGTTAGAATAAATATATCAGGTAAAAAGTAAGTTTTATTTGAGATATTTACTTGAAATTCTTAAGATTCCAGGAAAATATTCTTTAATTAACTCAATT